CAGTGGGGGGAGGAATAGTGCCCCATCCTTGGGTGTCAGTGGGGGGAGGAATAGTGCCCCATCCTTGGTGTCAGTGGGGGGAGGAATAGTGCCCCATCCTTGGTGTCAGTGGGGGGAGGAATTGTGCCCCATCCTTGGTGTCAGTGGGGGGAGGAATTGTGCCCCATCCTTGGTGTCAGTGGGGGGAGGAATTGTGCCCCATCCTTGGTGTCAGTGGGGGGAGGAATCATCGTTGGTGTCATTTGGGGGAGGAATAGTGCCCCATCATTGGTATCAGTGGGAGGAATAGTGCCCCATCACTGGTATCAGTGGGAGGAATAGTGCCCCATCACTGGTATCAGTGGGAGGAATAGTGCCCCATCATTGGTGTCAGTGGGAGGAATAGTGCCCCTTCATTGGTATCAGTGGGAAGAATAATCACCATCATTGGTATCAGTGGGAGGAATAGTGCCCCAATGATGGTGATTATTCTTCCCACTGATATCAATGATGGGGCACTATTCCTCCCACTGACACCAATGATGGGGCACTATTCCTCCCACTGACACCAATGATGGGGCACTATTCCTCCCACTGACACCAATGATGGGGCACTATTCCTCCCACTGATACCAATGATGGGGCACTATTCCTCCCACTGACACCAACGATGGGGCACTATTCCTCCCCCAAATGACACCAACGATGGGGCACTATTCCTCCCCCCACTGACACCAAGGATGGGGCACTATTCCTCCCCCCACTGACACCAAGGATGGGGCACTATTCCTCCCCCCCACTGACACCAAGGATGGGGCACTATTCCTCCCCCCACTGACACCAAGGATGGGGGCACTATTCCTCCCCCCACTGACACCAAGGATGGGGCACTATTCCTCCTCCCACTGACACCAATGATGGGGCACTATTCCTCCTCCCACTGACACCTATGATGGGGCACTATTCCTCCCACTGACACCAATGATGGAGCACTATTCCTCCCACTGACACCAATGACGGGGCACTATTCCTCCCACTGACACCAATGACGGGGCACTATTCCTCCCACTGACACCAATGACGGGGCACTATTCCTCCCACTGACACCAATGACGGGGCACTATTCCTCCCACTGATACCAATGACGGGGCACTATTCCTCCCACTGATACCAATGACGGGGCACTATTCCTCCCACTGATACCAATGACGTGGCACTATTCCTCCCACTGATACCAATGACGGGGCACTATTCCTCCCACTGATACCAATGATGGGGCACTATTCCTCCCACTGACACCAATGATGGGGCACTATTCCTCCCACTGACACCAATGATGGGGCACTATTCCTCCCACTGACACCAATGATGGGGCACTATTCCTCCCACTGATACCAATGATGGGGCACTATTCATCCCACTGACATCAGTGATGGGGCACTATTCCTCCTACTGCAAAATTACAGTTATGAAGTAGCAACGAAAATAATTTTATGGTTGGGGGTCACCACAACATGAGGAACTGTATTAAAGGATTGCGGCGTTAGAAAGATTGAGAACCACTGTTCTAGCCTGTTATTCTAATGCAGGCCATAGATGGGTTGAAAATCGGCCGAAAATTCATCGGAAAGAATAAATTGGCTGATTTTCGGATCATTAGTGGGTGAATTTGTCGGCCGTTTTTTTTGTGATTTTGACACTTTTTTTAATCGGCTATGATGGAAAAAAATGGCCGATTTTGTCGATCGGCCAATTTTCACAGCAATGATGGGCAAATCGGCCGATCTTTTTACCGATTAAAAAAAATGCGCATAAGCCATGACCTGCAAGAAGAAAAAGAAGCAACAGAAGACAAAGAAATAACATCTGTATCTATTTGTATCCATTTTGGATACAGATGTTTCTATTCGGATACAAATAGATACAATGTTGCAACTGCAATACTTTTAAAATACTTTTAAACTTTTATAAGAGCTCCGCTATTATATTTGACATTTAAAAGTATAGCGGTTGCAACATTGTATCTATTTGTATCCGAATAAACATCTGTATCCGAAATGGATACAAATAGATACAATGTTGCAACCGCTATACTTTTAAATGTCAAATATAATAGCGGAGCTCTCTGCAGGGACACTATTATATTTACCAGCCGTAGACGGGCCGAAAATCAGATTTTTTTTTTTTTTTAGCAATGGTGGTAACGTCAGTCGATTGAACGACCGATTTTTCGTTTTTTTAAATCAGCCGGTTTTCGACCCATCTATGGCCTGCATTACTCACTCAGCATGATAGAGTGATCTCCAGCCTTGTCCTCGTCAACACAGACACCTGTGTTCATGAGAGAATCACGGACATCATGTCAGCTGGTGTTTTTGTGGCTGAAATGCAGTGGAAATGTTTTTTTTTTTTGGGGGGTTAAAGCAGGCCATACATGGGTCAAATTCCGAACAATTTTTCGATTGAAAATCGAAAACATTGTTCGTTCTGTAATCCAATGGTGCCACCAATGATTTCGAAAATCGGTCGTTTTTCACAAATTTTCCAGCGTGCCCGATAAACGAAATGGGGAGGAACCACGGAAAAAAAAAAAAAAAAAAAAAAAAAAAAACCCCGCCCAGTGCTATTGCCCCATTAAAAGAGCGCAAATCGGCCGACTCTTCTTAGGCCCAATTTTCAAGCAAAAAAATTGTTCGAAAATCAACCCATATATGGCCGGCCTTCGTTTATTTTCATGGCAAAAAGGGGATTTTGCAATGAATTCCAATTCATCTGATCCCTCCTCATAACATTCTGGAGTATATGCAAAATTGCCATCATAAAACCCGAGACAGCAGACTTTGTGAAAACGAATATCTGCGTCATTCTCAAAACGTTTGGTCAGGGCTGTATACCCCAATTTGGGTTATTTTCACCAAAGAAATGTGGCAGAAAACATTTGGGCCTAAAATTTATGAAGAACAATTATTTATTTGCAAAATTTTATAACTAAGAAAAACTTTTTTTTTCCCCAAAAAAATTTTGTCTTTTCGTTTATCAAAAAATAAAAACCCCAAGTGGTGATTAAATACCACCAAAAGAAAGCTCTATTTGTGTGAAAAGAATATTTAGTTTGGTACAGTGTAGCATGACCGCGCAGTTGTCATTCAAACTTTGAGAGTGCTGAAAGCTGAAAATTTGCCTGGGCAGGAAGGGGGTAACAGTGCCCGGTACTGAAGTGGTTAAAGAGTGGGCTTTTCCCTGCAATTCCCAATATAAAAACGAACAAAGGCACACCCCTTTTGATAACGCGCCATAGCACGAAACGCGTTAAGGAGCGCTAATGTGGTGGCTCCGGCGGCCATCTTGGATAGCGGCTGATACAGCCATTAATATCAGCTCTGCATATTTTTTAGCAGTTACGGTATTTTTTTGCATGCTTTTATTCTGGAATAGAGGATTTTATATCCCCGACACCTGTAACAAGGATTATTAATACATTTTGAAGTATATGAAAATACTACACTATCAGTTTTTTCTATATATGGCTTGGCGCCATCTGCTTGGTGAGACCCCCCCAGTGGAAGAGGAGCTGTACTAGGGGCTGGTGTCCAGACAGAGGATCTATACTCCTGACAGGCTGACTGATCTACCTTAAAAAGGGACCCCGCAGAGAGCTTATATTTAATGCACTAAATCCTTGTGCATCCGGTGAGTGTGCGCAATTTATACAGATTGGAGCATGGAGTCACTATTATGAATTGCAAAGGAGGATTCACTTCCTGCTGACTACTGCATGTCAACCTTTCACGTTTTTGCACCTATTGACTGTTTGTTATATTGGGTGCAATTTGGCACCATATGCTTATTAATACCTTAGCGCTGCACCTCATTTATTTATTTATAAAGACGAACAAAGGCTGTATTCATTTGGTGAAGTGCATTTAATCGTTGTTGCGTTTGTTCAAGGAAAATAAATACAGTAACAAAACAGGAAAGTTAGAGCAATGTGATGGGATGAGGAGGAAACACAATGGGCCTTGTGATGGAAACTGAAGGAAAAGGCGGATTTCTCTTGTCAATAGCAACCAGAATTTCTTTTACCAGGACAATAGGATGTTGCTATGGGGTACAGTCCTTCAATCGAAGCTTTTCCATCACATGTCCCCTTGTTCTGCGGGGAGTACAAACACGAATGTGATATGACAGTTTACGAGGCTCTCGAACCAAGATCTGCTGTGACAGTTGGAAGGCTCTCAAATCAAGTTCTGCCATGACAGTTGGGAAGGTTCTCGAACCAAGTTCTGCCATGACAGTTGGGAAGGTTCTCGAACCAAGTTCTGCCATGACAGTTGGGAAGGTTCTCGAACCAAGATCTGCCATGACAGTTGGTAAGCCTCTCGAACCAAGATCTGCCATGACAGTTGGGAAGGCTCTTGAACCAAGATCTGCCATGACAGTTGGTAAGGATCTCCAACCAAGATCTGCCATGACAGTTGGTAAGGCTCTCGAACCAAGTTCTGCCATGGACAGTTGGTAAGGCTCTCGAACCAAGTTCTGCCATGACAGTTGGTAAGGCTCTCGAACCAAGTTCTGCCATGACAGTTGGTAAGGCTCTCGAACCAAGATCTGCCATGACAGTTGGTAAGGTTCTCGAACCAAGATCTGCCATGACAGTTGGTAAGCCTCTCGAACCAAGTTCTGCCATGACAGTTGGTAAGGCTCTCGAACCAAGTTCTGCCATGACAGTTGGTAAGGCTCTCGAACCAAGTTCTGCCCATGACAGTTGGTAAGGCTCTCGAACCAAGTTCTGCCATGACAGTTGGTAAGGATCTCGAACCAAGATCTGCCATGACAGTTGGTAAGGATCTCGAACCCAGTTCTGCTATGACAGATGAAATGTTGCAAGTCCTTTCTTCATTAGCTGGTCTAGGTATACATAAGATTGGACCGGTCCTCCTCCACAAACAGCGATCTCACCCCCTACAGTTCCTCCTCATCAAAAGACAAGAGACACTTCCACATTGTGGCCTTCTAGGTCTTTAGTGCTGGTGCGGCCTTCCTCTGCCACGGCCAGCTCCGGGACCTGCATCCATATTGGAGCGTGGGTTCTTTATGGTTTCGTCTACAGACAGAATGAGACAGGCGGCTTCTGAGGCTGCGGTCAGAGCATTCGTTCTCACGATGGCCGGCTCCCAAACGCAGGCTTCGAAGTTGTCTGCTATGTCCTCGTTATTCACATCCACACCGTACCACGTTCCACCCTGAAAGCATTCCCAGAACAGAGTTAGAAGAGAGAGCAAAAGGAAAAAAATAAAACCATCTGAACAGAAAAACAAATCCACACAACAAATAAATTCCTTGTTAGTGCTACCCATGTAACACTACCAGTTTGTCTTGTACAGTGCCTTGAAAAGGTCTTCCACCCACTTGAAATGTCCCCCATGTTGTCATGTTACATCCAAATCCGTCAATGTATTTATTGGGATTGGATGTCATAGACCAACACAAAAATGGCACATGATTGTGAAGTGGAAGGAAAATGAGAAATGGTTTTCAAAATATTTTACAAATAAATGTGAAAAGTGTGGCAGCATTTGTATTCGGCCCCCCTGGAGTAAATACTTTGTAGGACCCCCTTTGGCTGCAATTCCAGCTGCAAGTCTTTTTGGGGATGTCTCTTTGCACATCTAGAGAGGGACATTTCTGCCCATTCTTCTTTGCAGAATCGCTCAAGCTCTGTCAGGTTGGATGGAGAGCGTCTGGGAACAGCAATTTTCAGGTCTGGCCACAGATTCTCCATTGGATTTAGGTCTGGACTATGACTGGGCCATTCTAACACATGAAGATGCTTTGATCTGAACCATTCCATTGTAGGTCTGGCTGGATGTTTCAGGTCGTTGTCCTGCTGGAAGGTGAACCTCCGCCCCGGTCTCAAGTCTTTTGCAGACTCTAACAGCTTTTCTTCTATGATTGCCCTGTATTTGGCTCCATCCATCTTCCCATCAACTCTGACCAGCTTCCCTGTCCCTGCTGAAGAAAAGCATCCCCACAACATGATTCTGCCACCACCATGTTTCACGGTGGGGATGGTGTGTTCAGGGTGATGTGCAGTGTTTGTTTTCTGCCACATATAGCATTTTGCTTTTATGCAAAAAGTTCAGTTTTGGTCTCATCTGACCAGAGCCCCTTCTACCACGTTTGCAGTTTGTGAGAAGCCATGTGGGGGACACAGCAAACAGGACTTCTTATGGCTTTCCTCCAACAATGGCTTTCTTCTTGTCACTCTTCCATAAAGGCCAGATTTGTGGAGTGCACGACTAATAGTTGTCCTGTGGACAGATTCTCCCACCTGAGCTGTGGATCTCTGCAGCTCCTCCAGAGTTCCCATGGGCCTCTTGGCTGCTTCTCTGCTGAATGCTCTCCTTGCCCGGCCTGTCAGTTTAGCTGGATGGCCATGTCTTGGTAGGTTTGTAGTTGTGCCATACTCTGTCTATTTTCGGATGATGGATTGAACAGTGCTCCGTGAGATGTTCAAAGCTTGGGATATGTTTTTTTTATAACCTAACCCTGCTGTAAGCTTCTCCACAACTTTATCCCTGACCTGTCTGGTGTGTTCCTTGGCCTTCATGATGCTGTTTGTTCACTAATGTTCTCTAACAAACCTCTGAGAGCTTCACAGAACAGCTGGATTTATACTGAGGTCACATAACATACAAGTGGACTCTATTTACTAATTAGGTGACTTCTGAAGGCAATTGGTTCCACTAGATTTTAGTTAGGGGTATCAAGAGTAAAGGAGGCTAAATATAAATGCACGCCACACTTTTCAGATATTGGTTTGTAAAAAAATGTTGAAAACCATTTATCATTTTCCTTCCACTTCACAATTATGTGCCACTTTGTGTTGTTCTATCACATCCAATCCCAATAAAATACATTTATGTTTTTGGTTGTAACGTGACAACATGGGGGACATTTCAAGGGGGAGGAAAACTTTTTCAAGGCACTGTATATACTTATCAAATGGAACCTCCCACCTGGTCACATGGCTCCGCTACTGGTGTTCCCAGAATACTATGCTGCAAGCAAAAGGACTATTTAAAGCTGAACTCCAATCAGCCAATGTGTAAAACTCAGCTAGCTTACTAGGAGTCAAGTCCAACGAGGTGCATGCCACCTCCTTGACTTGTATCTGTTATTTAAAAACAGACAGTTTTATGGAGCTCCAGGAGTACAGCTATGAGAACACTCCCAGCGATCTCACAGGAAATACTCTGTCTTGTCATACAGCAGAAGCTCTGAACTGTTCATTCCCAGAAGGCTTTGTATTCTGTGAATGAGTCGACATAATACAAAGCACTCTTTGACTGGGCAGCAGGAGAGGAAGGGTCTGGCACTGTGGCTGCATGGAACTCAGGAGCCGAGAACAGAAGGTTTAGCATTTGTGCGCTTGAAGTACAGTGATAGCTATGCTTTCAGTAAAAATGTTAATTGAAAATTAAAGAGATAAGTACATGAGCTGGCATGCACCTCGCTGGAATTGACCCATAGTAATGTGCCACATACACATTGGCTGAATCCAAATCCAAAGGCAAAATGGAGCACCAAAAGGTGAGCCTGAGAGGAAACCAGAAGCCCAGGACACAACAGACACGCTGCGAGACTGACCTTACACAACCCTGGCAATACCAAGTACACGGCTCAAAAAAATGAAAGGAAGACTTTATAATCAGAGTCTAGCATCAGGTCAGTGAAACTCCTGGGATATTGATCTGGTCAGTTAAGTAGCAGAGGGGGTGGTTAATTTTATTAACCCCCCAAAAAAACAGCTGAAACTGATAAACAACAGGTGCACTAGATGGGCAACAACGAGACAACCCCCAAAACAGGAATTGTTTTACAGATGGAGGCCACTGACATTTTTGACCTACTCCTCTTTTCTGAACGTTTTCACTAGTTTTGCATTTGGCTAGGGTCAGTGTCACTACTGGTAGCATGAGGCCATACCTGGACCCTACAGAGGTTGCACAGGCAGTCCAACTCCTCCAGGATGGCACATCGATACGTGCCATTGCCAGAAGGTTTGCCGTGTCTCCCAGCACAGTCTCAAGAGCATGGAGGAGATTCCAGGAGACAGGCAGTTCCTCTAGGAGAGCTGGACAGGGCCGTAGAAGGTCCTTAACCCATCAGCAGGACCGGTATCTGCTCCTTTGTGCAAGGAGGAACAGGATGAGCACTGCCAGAGCCCTACAAAATGACCTCCAGCAGGCCACTGGTGTGAATGTCTCTGACCAAACAATCAGAAACAGACTTCATGAGGGTGGCCTGAGAGCCCAATGTCCTCTAGTGGGTCCTGTGCTCACTGCCTGGCACCATAGAGCTCGATTGGCATTTGCCATTGAACACCAGAATTGGCAGGTCCACCACTGGCCCCCTGTGCTTCTCACAGATGAAAGCAGGTTCCCCCTGAGCACATGTGACAGACTTGAAATGGTCTGGAGAAGCCATGGAGAATGTTCTGCTGCCTGTAACATGGTTCAGCATGACCGTTCTGGTGGTGGGTCAGTGATGGTCTGGGGGGGCATATCCATGGAGGGACACACAGACCTCTACAGGCTACACAATGACACCGACTGTCAGTTAACGGGATGAAATCCTTGGACCCATTGTCAGACCCTTCACTGGTGCTGGGTTCCTCCTGGTGCAGTGGGTCCTGGGTTCCTCCTGGAGCAGTGGGTCCTGGGTTCCTCCTGGAGCAGTGGGTCCTGGGTTCCTCCTGGAGCAGTGGGTCCTGGGTTCCTCCTGGAGCAGTGGGTCCTGGGTTTCTCTTGGTGCACGACAATGCCCGGCCTCATGTGGGGAGAATATGCAGGCAGTTTCTGGAGGATGAAGGAATTGATACCAATGACTGGCCCCCACGCTCGCCTGACCTAAATCCAATAGAACACCTCTGGGATATCATGTTTTGGTCCATCCGACGCCACCAGGTTGCACCTCAGACTGTCCAGGAGCTCAGTGATGCCCTGGTCCAGATCTGGGAGGAAATCCCCCAGGACACCATCCGTGGTCTCATTAGGAATACGCCCTGACATTGTCAGGCATGCATACAAGCACGAGGGGGTCATACAGACAACTGAGGGCCATTCTGAGTTGCTGCAATGACATTTCAGCACAATGGACTCGCCATCCGCATCATTTTTTCACTTTGATTTTCGGGGTGTCTTTGAACTCAGTCCTCTGTAGGTTGATCATTTCCATCAAGCGATGGGACATACTTACATTTCTAACACATCCCCCGTCCATGTCAGTATAGAGATCCAACAGGAGATTCGTCCCCATTAAGATCTAATGGGTTTTCAAGGTATTCCTTTCATTTTGTTGAGCCGTGTATAAAGCTCCTCAGGCTGCATGATTCTGATGCACCCCTGTATCCCAATACATCAGATTTCAGGCAGCTGCACCTTCTATCTGTGCATCCTACATCCAGGGAAGCTGGAGAACAAGTACATGCATCACCTTTGTATACTCTGCAATTGGACAGAAAGCTAGAGACAGGAGCTCATGAGCCATCAGCGTGGCCAGTAATAGGAGGCTGTACCCACCTGCGCATGCTTAGCTCTCAGCTTGTTCAGGATGTTGGTGGCATCGAATCCAGCGTTGTCACAGAGCTGGCGAGGAATGATCTCAAGGGCTTTGGCATAGGAACCGATGAGAAGCTGCTGCTTGCCGGGGATTGTCCTGGAGTAATCTCGTAGGTACTTGGACAGCTCCATCTCAATGGCTCCACCGCCAGCAACAACAGAATCATTCTAGAGGAGATAAAATGATGAGACCAAAGGAAAAAAAAAAAAAAAATTACCACAATAACACTTGCTGCCTCCAAAGCATTCTGGGTAAAAGTCCTGGATTCTTTCTTGGATACACAGAATATAACATTTATAGGCAACGTTGATCCAGGGAATATCCGATTGCCTCTCGGGGGATCAGGAGGGAATTTTTTCCCCTGCAGGAGCAAATTAGATCGTGCTTTGCTGGGGTTTTTTTTCCTCTGGATCAATGGTGGGTATAGGATTATAACTTTTTTTTTGTTAATGGTTGAACTGGATGGACTTTTGTCTTTTTTTCAGCCAGACTAACTATGTACATAAACAATTACTAAATATCCACTGCATACAGCTGGTGGAGGAAACCTCAGATCAATACCTTAATGGCCCTGCGTACAATCATGATGGCGTCATGTAATGATCGCTCTGTCTCCTCCATGAATTGCTCAGCTCCTCCTCTCAGGATGATGGTGCAGGTCTTGGCTTTGGGGCAGCCGGTGAAGAAGTTGTATCTGCAGACAAACAGAACCAGTGACAGCCAATTGCATCGCTACACCAGAGGATTCAAGCCAATCCCAGGAAAGTTGGAGCTTTATTAATAGTAAGGACTTCCATTAGGTATATTGGTCACATGACCACCGCTCTCACCTTTCTCCTCCCACCTGGGCCTCCTCAAACAGAGAGCACAGACCCAGCACATCATCGTTTAGAGCATTGACACTGGTCTGGATGGAGCCACCGCAGGCCTGGGAATAACAGGGGGCAAAATGAAACACATAAATGCAACGATAAGCAGCGCAGTCAGCATATTATACAAACACACTCAATGAGAATTTGTAAGGCCAGGATTTCCCAACTGGATATGCACAGAACCCGAGGGTTCCACCTCTGATGAATATCTGCCCCACAATGCATTCACTGCTCCCCTTTCGCTACTGAGCAGATTGATATCAGCCCGATTCTATGTACTAATTTCTGGCTGCTGGCACCACATTGTGAGGCTGGAAGAGTGGCTCATGTGTATAATAAGCACAACCGGCCTAGAAGGGGGATGGGGCAGTTGGGAACACTGGGATTCCGTGCTCCTCTGGGGAGGGGGGGGGTTGGGGACACTGGGATTCCGTGCTCCTCTGGGGAGGGAGGGTTGGGGACACTGGGATTCCGTGCTCCTCTGGAAAGGGGGGGGTTGGGAACACTGGGATTCCGTGCTCCTTTGGGGAATGCAGGGTCCAGGGAGAGCGGATATAGCAGGGGCGGACTGACAACTCATGGGGCCCCTGTATCCTTGCCCAAACTCAAAAAAGCCCATGAAAAAGGTACCAGGGGCATCTCATGGGGCCCCCTACTGACCCCAGGCCCTCGGGCAGTGCCTGAGTTTCCAAATGGTCAGTCCGCCCTGGGATATAGTGAATGCGGGATCCGGGGAGAGCGGATATAGTGAATGCGGGGTTCGGGGAGAGCGGATATAGTGAATGCGGGGTTCGGGGAGAGCGGATATAGTGAATGCGGGGTCCGGGGAGAGCGGATATAGTGAATGCGGGGTCCGGGGAGAGCGGATATAGTGAATGCGGGGTCCGGGGAGAGCGGATATAGTGAATGCGGGGTCCGGGGAGAGCGGATATAGTGAAGGCGGGGTCCGGGGAGAGCGGATATAGTGAATGCGGGGTCCGGGTGAGAGCGGATATAGTGAATGCGGGGTCCGGGGAGAGCGGATATAGTGAATGCGGGGTCCGGGGAGAGCGGATATAGTGAATGCGGGGTCCGCGGAGAGCGGATATAGTGAATGCGGGGTCCGCGGAGAGCGGATATAGTGAATGCGGGGTCCGCGGAAGAGCGGATATAGTGAATGCGGGGTCCGCGGAGAGCGGATATAGTGAATGCGGGGTCCGCGGAGAGCGGATATAGTGAATGCGGGGTCCGGGGAGACCGAGATATAGTGAATGCGGGGTCCGGGAGGTGAATGCGGGGAGCGGATATAGTGAATGCGGGGTCCGGGGAGAGCGGATATAGTGAATGCGGGGTCCGGGGAGAGCGGATATAGTGAATGCGGGGTCCGGGGAGAGCGGATATAGTGAATGCGGGGTCCGGGGAGAGCGGATATAGTGAATGCGGGGTCCGGGGAGAGCGGATATAGTGAATGCGGGGTCCGGGGAGAGCGGATATAGTGAATGCGGGGTCCGGGGAGGAGAGCGGATATAGTGAATGCGGGGTCCGGGGAGAGCGGATATAGTGAATGCGGGGTCCGGGAGAGCGGATATAGTGAATGCGGGGTCCTGGGAGAGCGGATATAGTAAATGCGGGGTCCAGGGAGAGCGGATATAGTGAATGCGGGGTCCGGGGAGAGCGGATATAGTGAATGCGGGGTCCGGGGAGAGCGGATATAGTGAATGCGGGGTCCAGGGAGAGCGGATATAGTGAATGCGGGGTCCAGGGAGAGCGGATATAGTGAATGCGGGGTCCGGGGAGACCGGATATAGTGAATGCAGGGTCCGGGGAGAGCGGATATAGTGAATGCGGGGTCCAGGGAGAGCGGATATAGTGAATGCGGGGTCCAGGGAGAGCGGATATAGTGAATGCGGGGGGGTCCAGGGAGAGCGGATATAGTGAATGCGGGGTACGGGGAGACCGGATATAGTGAATGCGGGGTCCGGGGAGACCGGATATAGTGAATGCAGGATCCAAGGTTTAGCAACACTTTAAAGGCAGTTCTGAAGGTAAAACAGGGTCCAACCTGGTACTAACAAGGTGTACCTTATAAAGTGGCAGGTGAGTGTACATGTACTAACATACAAGTTGTAGATAAGAACATTTCAGGGGTTCCCCAGAGATCTCAAAATTCTTTCAAGGGTTCCTCAAGGGTAGTAAGGTAGAGAAAGCCTAATCTAGAACTTCCCATAAGGCTGCAGAAGCCTTTGTGCCACCAAACGATCTAGGCTGCTTGGCATCTTTCAGAGGGTATTGATAGTAAGATGACCTTGTTTATCACCATGGTTCCACATCCACCCCTTCCTTAGTATCAGCGGACGCTCTGGTGTGTGCACAGCTATGACATTATGCATTTCCAGGTGTTTAAAAAACTGTATTGTAGAGTTGGCCCCCCCCCCCCAAGTACCAAATACAAAGCACTGTTAGTAAGAGCTGGTAAGACGAGTGAATCTAGAACTGTGAGAACTGAGATTTCCTACCATCATGGTCCTCCTGAGATCCTCTTCAGGAACCCGGCCGGCACAGAACAGGTCTCGGTCAGCAAAGTACTGTGTGGCGACATCCCCAATGGGAAGCTTGGAGAGAACAACCTTGGCTCCGGACTTGTGGATCTTGTCGAGTTTGTCATACAGGATGTTCCACTCGGCATCAACAATGGCCTGATAGTCCTGGAATGATGAAAGATAAAAGAGTCAGGCGGCATGTACAGGTATTTCAAGCTTTAGATGAATTCTAAACTTGCCCTTTACTTCAATTCTTTTTCCTCATTAAACACACTTTTCGTTTTAGTTGTAAGTTCCTTTTTTATGTCCATCACACCGCAGCTGTAGAAGAAAGAAATCTACACCTGGGCACCGTGAAGAAGTATTGATGAGGTGTGGACATCATTTCCCAGTTGGAGCTACTACACCGTGTTTCAAATTATTATGCAGATGATATTTTTCTCATTTCCCTCAATAATTGATGTAAATAACAGTCGGCAGAATTCTCAGGTTACAACTATAAGAGGACAATTCACATTTTATTGAACAAACCTCCTAATGATAACAGGATTTTTGTTCCAAATTATTCCGCACAGGAAGTTTCCAAACACTTTATAGGTTGTAAAGAACTGAAAACTGTCATTTGTTGTGTTTGCAGCAGATTTACTGAAATCAAAAGCTATTTCAATCAAACTTTTAACAACATTGTAACTTTGTAAACATTTGAAGCGGTCACGTTACATTGTAACATAGGAGCCCGTATCTGATAGCAGATCACAAGTCTTGCATCCATTGAACTTGGGAGTTTTTGGACCGTTTCTGCTTGAATTTGTTTGCAAGATGTCAGAATAGCCTCCCAGAGCTGCTGTTTGGATGTAAACTTCCTCCCACCCTCATAGATCTTTTGCTTGAGGATGCTCCAAAGGTTCTCAATAGGATTGAGGTCAGGGGAGGATGGAGGCCACACCATGACTTTCTCTCCTTTTATCCCCATAGCAGCCATTGATGCAGAGGTATTCTTTGCAGCATGAGATGGTGCATTGTCATGCATGAAGATGATTTTATTATGGAAAGCATAGTTCTTCCTTCTGTACCAGGGAACAAAGTGGTCAGTCATAAACTCCACATACTTTGCAGAGGTCATCTTTACACCTTCGGGGACCCTAAAGGGGCGGACCCGCTCTCTTCCCATGATTCCAGCCCAAAACATGACTCCACCACCACCTTGCTGACGTCGCAGCATTGTTGGAACAGGGTGGCCGTCCACCAACCATCCACTACTCCATCCATCTGGACCATCCAGGGTTGCACGGCACTCATCAGTGAACAGGACTGTTTGAAAATTAGTCTTCATGTATTTTTCTGCCCAATGCAGCCGTTTCTGCTTGTGAGCATTGGTTAGTGGTGGCCGAATAGAAGGTTTATGCACAGTTGCAAGACTCTGGAGGACTCTACACCTTGATGTCCGTGGGACTCCAGAGGCACCAGCAGCTTCACATATCTGTTTGCTGCTATGTAATGGGATTTTAGCAGCTGCTCTCTTGATCCGATGCATGGATCTGGCAGGAATCTTCCTCAATGTGCCTTTATCTGCACCAACCCGTCTGTGCTCTGAATCAGCCACAAATCTCTTCATAGTACGATGATCACGCTTAAGTTTTCGTGAAATATCGAATGTTTTCATACCTCGTCCAAGGCATCGAACTATTTCACTCTTTTCAGCAGCAGCAGAGATCCTCTTTCTTCCCCGTATTGCTTGAAAATGGTGCTCTGCTTAATAATGTGGAACACCGTCCTTTAGTAGTTTTTCCTGAAATTGGGCTCACCGGCCAATCTAATTATCACAGGTGTCCCAGATTGTTTTCAGTGATCAAAAGAGCCCTGACACACAATGCCATCCATGAGTTACACTGAAAAACAAAATATTTCATCTTTGTGACACTTAAATAGAATTTGCATAATAATTTGGAACGCGGTGTATATCAAACCACTATTCCCACCAATGCAATGGGAATCACTGCATTTACATACAATTCCAGCAGGCATAAGTGAGGGTGACAGAGCAGGAGTCCTCTGGCCTGTCAGTCAGGATATGATGTCATGGTGCACCAGAGAGATCAGAAGTCTGTTGGCCTGTCAGTCAAGATATGATGTCATGGTGCACCGGAGAGATTAGAAGTCTGCTGGCCTGTCAGTCAAGATATGATGTCATTTTGCACCTGAGATCAGAAGTCTGCTGGCCTGTCAGTCAAGATATGATGTCATGGTGCACCAGAGATCAGAAGTCTCCTGTCCGGTCAGTCAAGATATGATGTCATGGTGACCGGAAAGATCAGGAGTCCCCTAGTTGTCAGTCACGGTATGATGTCATGGCCCATCGGAGAGATCAGGAGTTCCCTAGTCTATGAGTCAAGATATAATGTCATGGTGCACCAAAACAGATCAGGAGTCTCCTGGTGTCAGTCACGGTATGATGTCATGGTGCACCGAACAGATCAGGAGTCTCCTGGTGTCAGTCACGGTATGATGTCATGGGTGGTGCACCGAACAGATCAGGAGTCTCCTGGTGTCAGTCACGGTATGATGTCATGGTGCACCGGACAGATCAGGAGTCTCCTGGTGTCAGTCACGGTATGATGTCATGGTGCACCGGACAGATCAGGAGTCTCCTGGTGTCAGTCACGGTATGATGTCATGGTGCACTGAACAGATCAGGAGTCTCCTGGTGTCAGTCACGGTATGATGTCATGGTGCACCGGACAGATCAGGAGTCTCCTGGTGTCAGTCAAGTTTTGAGGCCACGGTGCACCGGACAGATCAGGAGTCTCCTGGTGTCAGTCAAGTTTTGAGGCCACGGTGCACCGGACAGATCAGAAGTCTCCTGACCTGTCGATCAAATTAGACATGAGTGGGCAAGATAGACCAGGATTATGAGATGCCCCCAGTCCCCCCACTACAATGAGTGGCAATGTAAAAAAAAAAAAAAAAAAAAAAAAAAAAACAACCCACCTATGTTGGAGACTACAATGGAGAAGGTCCAGCAGCTGAGCTGGCAGTGCAGGCACAGTGGCCACTAGTCTAACACACAAGATGAGAGGGACACAGAGCCCTGGAAATTCTGCATTCAAAGGACTGATCAGTGGTTGCAGCTTTGAATGCAAAAAGACCATAAATGGCAGGGACCAACTTTTATATCGCCAAATAAAACGTTCTACCTGAGGTTCAGATTTTGCTGTTAAAGTGGTTGTAAGCCTCAGACATGAAATATGAACAAAGCATATCCCTCTCTAGTGTGTACTTGTCTCAATTAAGATTACCAAGTATCATTTCTTTCTTCATGCATCAGCATGAGTTGCTTTGGACAAGTTTTCCTGACACCAAGAGAAAAATGGTGGCAGGGGAGAGACCTCCAGCGGAATGACAACCACAGCACTGTTCCTGTGTGCTGTCTGGAGGGGGTGGGGGGGTGTCCCTTCCCTCCAATCAGCTCTCAGAGCTCTCCTCACTGAGCTCTGCAGAGTGTAACTTCTGGTTACTAGAAGCCTAGGCCGCATACATGCAGTGCGGAAAATGCTGCAATTCCTGCACGTTACTGCATTTGTGATCTAATGGTGGTTTCAATACAAAGAGACACCTCAAATGGATCACAAACGCAGCGCGGTTTTGCCTGCACTGGATCACATGGTAAAAGACGACCTTGCGATCCTTATTCAAACCCCTTCAAGTCCGGACACTTTTACCCCCTTCCTGTCCTGGCCAATGTTCAGCGCTATCACACGTTGAATGACAATTGCGCGGTCATGCAACGCTGTACCCAGAAACATTTTTTGGCATTTTTTTTTTTTTTTTTTTTTAGACAGACAAAACTTAATTTTGGTGGTATTTATTCACCACTGGGATTTTTATTTTTTTTGCTATATAGGTGAAAGTCCAAAAATGTTTTAAAAAAGGGTTTTTCTTATAAAATTTTGCAAATAATCTTTCTTCATAAATCTTGCCCAAAATGTATTGTTATCTTTTTAGTGAAAAAAAACCCCAAATTAGTTTAACCAAAAAGTATAATTTTTCTAAATTTTTTTTTTACATCTTTATTGTTATATATATATATATATTTATTTTTTTTTACATACTGTCACCCTATCAGTACAGTGTTACCATAGTGACACTGTACTACTTGTGGGGGGTTATGAATATTTTTTTTTTTTTTTTTTTTTTACACCGATTGCTTTTACACCCAATAAAGGCTGTAAAATCAATCATTTCTCCTCTCTGGCTGCATTCCTGCAGCCACTGAGAAATACTGTGTGAGCTGTGATTGGTCACAGCTTGTCACATGGTACAAGGCTGTTGTGAATAGCCCTGTACCATGTGATCTCTGTGATCATTCACAGATTTCACACATAGTAAGCAATGATGTCAGAAGTGACATCTTGCTTACTACTCTTAATGTGATCACTGATTGGCCAATCAGTGATCACATGATCAGGACCTCGCACAGAGGTCCCGTACAACAATCGGTGTTCCACTGTGTCCTCCGGACACAGCGGGCACCGGATCGCAGTGCTGTGCGCTCCCATGGAGCGTGCACAAGCAGGGAGCGGGGAGGACGTTTATAAACTTCCACCCGCTCCTGCACAGCTCCCTCATACAGAGGTACCGTACATCAATCGGTGTTGTGATCACAAGCAGGGGGCGGGGAGGATGGTTATAAACAGCCACCCGCTCCTGCACTGCTCCGGCCGTTTATATACATAGGCCGGATGGGAAGTGGTTAAAGCAGCTCCATAAACGGTCCCCGCATGTCTTTGGTGTGACCCAAGCCCATTCAAAATGAATGGTCTCAAATCAGACCACACAGAAATGTGGTGCAATTCCTGTGCAAATCACATGCAGGCTATAGTGTGAACCGGGGCTAAAGGTTGACCGGTTCCTCCCAGTCAGGGTTCTCACCTCGACATTGCTGACCCGAACTTCTGCATTATCCTTCTCCGCTTTCAGCTCCAGCTCCACGTTCAGGAGGGCAATCTTAGGAGACTCGTACTTCTTGGGCTGCATCTCAAACCCGGCGTAGGAGAAGGTCTTCTTGAAGGCGACTCCGGCTACCAGATGGGAGTCCTGAACAGAGAGGTTCATTATCGAAGTGATCAAATTGTACAAACAGCACGCTGTACCTGTGAGCCGCACTACACACCTCCAGGGCGCCTCCCTGCACCTTCTTGATGCCGATCATCTTCAGCTGCAGCAGTTCATCCAACATGGACACGGCATCCACCACCATTTGGGCGAAGAAGTCCTTTTGGAGTGCGATGAGTTTGGAGCTCAGGGCTGTTGCAGCGCATTTCTCCAGCAGGCTTCGCTGTTCACTGATCATGAAACCCAAATTAGATAAGAAACACAAAACACCCAACAATGGGGTAAGATTGATAAAAACTGGAGCGTGCAAAATCTGGTGCAGCTCTGCACGGTAGCCAATCAGCTTCTAATTTAACCCCGTGATGCCAATCGCACACAAATATGCACCCTCTTGCTATCTGGGCCTCAACGCCGAGTGGCAGGATTTTTGCGTGCAATTAGAAAATACATGTGCTGAAAGCGCGCCCTGCGCGCTCCCAGCACGTCAGTGACTCACGGGAAGGTCCCGAACTCCCCTTTAGATCGGGACCTTTTCCGATCATGTGACCACCATGATGTCGAATCACGACCCTAAAACCCCGCCGTCTTAAACTCTTAAAGTGTCGGGAGGCACCGGCGAAGTGGTTAAAGTGGAGTTCTACTCACCCTGTCAAAAAATAAAAGTCAGCAGCTACTGTAGCTGCTGACTTTTAGAAAACAGCCACTTACCTGCCCCACGGTCCCATGGTATGTCCCCCGCAGCCGGTTTCACCGGCCGTCCTGTACTCCAAGAGGCCGGCATCTTCAGTGTGGGCACCCAGCTGTGAAAGCATGCGGCTTCACAGCCGGGTACCCACTGCGCATGAGCGAGTAGTGCTGAGCTTCATGAATGGTCCTGTAGTAGTCTTCTGGGACCTGTCACGTTGGGGGGGGGAGGGTCGTCACCTTTCGATCACTGGAAGTGGGAGCGGGTACCTGTCAAATTCGGGTGCCAATCCTTAATGGGGAGCGGGGGAGCAGGGGAGCAGTCCTTAAATCAGAACTTCCCCCTTTTGGGTGGCGCACCGCTTTAAGGATGTTCAATTAACCTTAGACAAAAAAACCCCAAAAATACAAAAAAAAAAAAAAAAAAAAAAAAACTAAGCTGATTGGCTACCATGCACAGCTGCACCAGATTTTGCATTCTCCAGTTTTAGTAAATGAGCCCCCAATGTCACATTTCATAAGAGCATTCCATGATACTCACTCTTTATCCTCTTTCTTCACTGTGACAGCAATCTCTTTGATTTTAGCGACTGCCTAAAAGAGAACAGGAGAGCAGAGTGACGCACCCATCCATTGCACCTGCTGCGCACTTTGTGCAGGAATTGGAATATTACCCTCTTCCCACCAGTAGGCCATTTATATATTGCCCTATGTACACTCTCTGAGCTGCAGCGCACGCCCTGCATGCTCCCAGAACAGGCACCGACGGGAACTGGACAGCTCCTGATGCATACTAGCGATCAGGTGGTGTCCAATTGAGTGCCAGCCAATCACAGCAGTCACATGACCCAAGTGCCCGCCTCCCAGGATTTAAAAGCTCTTGAAGGGCCGGGAAAAGATGAAGTAACCACTCAGGAATATTTACCTGCCCCCTTCATGACCAGGCCATTTTTTGCGATACAGCACTGCAATTGAACGGTTATGCAGCGTTGTACCCAAATAAAATTTACAAAAATGTATTCATACCCCTTGACATGTTGTCATGTTACAACCAAAAATGTAAATGTATTTTATTGGGATTGGATGTGATGGACCAACACAAAGTGGCACAGAATTGTGAAGTGGAAGGAAAATAAGAAATGATTTTCAAAATTTTTTACAAATAAATATCTAAAAAGTGTGACGTGCATTTGTACTCAGCCCCCTTTACTCTGATACCCCTAACTAAAATCTAGTGGAACTAATTGCCTTCAGAAGTCACCTAATTAGTAAATAGAGTCCACCTGTGTGTCATGTGATCTCAGTAGAAAAACAGCTGTTCTGTGAAGCCCTCAGAGGCTTGTTAGAGAAAATTACTCTGCATGTGATCACTGATTGGCCAATCAGTGATCACATGATCGGGACCTCGCACAGAGTTCCTGTATGACGATTGGTGTTTCACTGTGTCCGGAGGACACAGCAGGCACTGGATCACAGTGCTGCACGCTCCCAGGGAGCGCGCACAAACAGGGGGCGGGGAGGCTGTTTATAAACGTCCTCCTGCCCCTGCACTGCCACCGTCCGGCCGTTTATATACAACGGCCGGATGGGAGGTGGTTAAGTGGTAAAAAATGCTTATTTTTAAAGCTGAAGAATCACGCACATATATAAAACCCTCCCTCAGGATGTCCAAAAACTTACAGGTGGTGTGTCCTGTTGTGCAGCATTGTGTGGATTTGCCTGCACTGTTGTATCATCCATTCAAAGGGATCTTAAAATGGGAAGTCTATAAGTCCCATCTGCCACTGCAGCAGTGCCAATACAAAGGCAGTGACATCACCAAACATAGTCCCTTCCAACATTCCCTGCAGTCCCATAACCGTAGGTGCTTCCTCTTTAAACACCAAGGACTGGGGGGTGAACGACGCAGGAGCCTGGGCACTGACAACATTGCTCTGACGGAGCAGATGACGTCAGAGATGCTCGGTAATCACTGGGCGCTGGCGGGTAATTACCGGCCGAGACCCGGCGATTGACAGCCGCGGATGGCTACATACACACACCAATCTAACTGTCAGGTCGTCGGCATCATTCTCAACTCCTTCCAACAGATCACATCATGACTGACATGACAGGTACTCACCAACTGTGTGGCGGTCCGGAAGGCCCTGATGATGATCTGTGGGTGCAGCCCCTCCTCCACATAGTTCTTCACTTGTTTCAAAAACTCAGCGGCGAGCAGTGTGACAGATGTAGTTCCATCTCCGACCTGAAAACACAATGAGACACCTCAGAAACACTGCAGGACCACCACAGTCATTCGCAGTTTGTTGTGTATGGGGATGTGTAGCTGCAGACCGGATAGGGTGCCCATTCTGACCCGTGTCCACAGCGCCTACAACAGGCATGTGAGGATCACAAGTGGACCACGAACGGATGGGGGGGCTCATTCTGACCCGTGTCCACAGCGCCTACAACAGGCATGTGAGGATCAGAAGTGGATCACGACCAGATAGGGAGCCCATTCTGACCCGTGTCCACAGCGCCTACAACAGGCATGTGAGGATCACAAGTGGACCACGAACGGATGGGGGGGCTCATTCTGACCCATGTCCACAGCGCCTACAACAGGCATGTGAGGATCACAAGTGGACCACGAACGGATGGGGGGGCTCATTCTGACCCGTGTCCACAGCGCCTACAACAGGCATGTGAGGATCAGAAGTGGATCACGACCGGATAGGGAGCCCATTCTGACCCGTGTCCCTACAACGGGCACATAAGGATCAGATCTAGACCACAGAGCAATGGAAGAAGGTGGCCTGGTCTGATGAACCACGTTTTCTTTTACATCATGTGGATTGTCGGCTGTGTGCGCGTCACCAATGGCGCCAGGATGCAATATGGGAAGAAGACAAGCCGGCAGAGGCGGTGTGATGCTTTGTCTAGAGCAGGGGTGGGCAACTGGTGGCCCTCCAGCTGTTGTTGAACTACAAGTCCCATGAGGCATTGCAAAACTGACAGTTACAAGCATGACTCCCAAAGGCAGAGGCATGATGGGCCTTGTAGTTCAACAGCTGGAGGGCCACAGTTGCCCACCCCTGGTCTAGAGGAGTCCATGCCTCAATGGGTCAGGGCTGCTTGGGTGGCAAAAGGGGGACCTACTCCATATTAGATGGGGGGACCCAAATATTAGACATTTTCTGAAAGCAAACACCATCGAGAACAAAATAGTTGCAATTCCAATTTTTTATGTCACACGATATTACCACAAAGGTCTGGGAAACGCAAAATGTTTGTGTAAAAAAACACACAATGAAGTGAATTTAAGGGCAAATGCAAAAAATCACCCACATTTTTGGTAAAATATAAAAGATGAGGTGGGGCCAAGTAGATACCCAACATGCCAAACCCTAAATTTGTTTGCCCCTGTGAAATGGCGACAAATATATTTTATTTTTAATATATTTCCTATAGGCGACGCTTCAAAAGCCCCTACAGTTATTACCTTCTGTACCCACATTTTCCCGATGTAGATTGTAAGCTCCATGATCAAGGCCCCCCCTGTTCCTCTTGTATCGAACTGTAATTGTTCTCGCTCTTTACTTTGGATAATACTCTGTGTGACGGGAGTGACTTTGGCTGGGGGGCCCATGGAACACAGCTCACTTTGGAGAGGTGAGGAGACCCCTGTCTCAGCTCCCCATATCCCTTTTATGTGCAAGTCACCCTGTGCCTGTAAGGGGTGCAGGGTGAGATGTCCTGATATTGTGTAGACATGTCTAGGTGGGGTGTGGGGGGTTGTCATTGTTTAATGTCATGTGGTTGCATCCCATTGTTCTATTGTGTTGGCTCTGAGGAAGAGGTTGTGTCCTCGAAACGCGTTAGCCAGTTGGTCATCCAGGGTTCCATCGTAGTTCCAGACTCAGATGTTGTTTGGATCATACATCTTGTTCAGTTTGACATGCCTGTGTTTATTATGTCCATTGTGAGTATGATACCTATTTTTGTTTCTTTAACCACTTCCAGACCGGACACTTTCCCCCCCTTCCAGTCCGGACACTTTCACCCCCCTTCCAGACCGGACACTTTCCCCCCCTTTCAGTCCGGACACTTTCACCCCCCTTCCAGACCGGACACTTTCCCCCCCTTCCAGTCCGGACACTTTCACCCCCTTCCTGACCAGGGCAATTTTCAGCTTTCAGCGCTATCACACTTTGAATGACAATTGCGCGGTCATGCAACACTGTACCCAAATGAATTTTTTTTTACCATTTTTTTGAGACAGATAAAGATTTATTTTGGTGGTATTTATTCACCGCTGGGATTTGTATTTTTTTTGCTATGTAAATGAAATGTCCAAAAATTTTGAAAAAAAGTGTTTTTTTTATAAAATTTTGCAAATAAATAATATTTCATCATAAATCTTAGCCAAAATTTATTCCGTTATCTTTTTAGTAAAAAAAAAAAAAAAAAAATCCAAAATTAGTTTAACACCAAAAATTATAATTTTTAAACATTTTGTTTTACATTTTTACATACTGTCACCCTAGCAGTACAGTGTCACCATGGTGACACTGTACTACTTGTGGGGGGTGATGAAGATTTTTTTTTTTTTTTTTTTAACACTGATTGCTTTTACACCCCATATAGGATGTAAAAGCAATCATTTCTCTTTCTCTCTGTCTGCATTCTTGCAGCCATTGAGAAGTACTGAGTGAACTGTGATTGGTCATAGCTTGTCACATGGTACAAGGCTGTTGTGAATAGCCCTGTACCATGTGATCATTCACAGATTTCACACGTAGTAAGCAATGTCGTCAGAAGTGACATCTTGCTTACTACTTTGCATGTGATCACTGATTGGCCAATCAGTGATCACATGATCGGGACCTTGTACACAGGGAAGGACACAGCGGGCACCGGATCGCGGTGCTGCGCGCTCCCAGGGAGCGCGCACAAGCAGGGTGCGGGGGAGGCCGTTTATAAACGGCCACCCGACCCTGCACTGCCACCGTCCGGCCGTTTATATGCAAAGGACGGTCGGGAAGTGGTTAATAAATTATTTTAACCGATAATGCACTAGGTCGGAGCGCCCTTTTTCTGTTTCTCCATTTGTATCCATTGTTCTATTGTGTGTCTTGCTTGGGAGCAAACTATTATGGGATGTATGTGTTTGTGTATTGGCTTGGTGGTGGTGGGGGGGGGTGTCTGCTGATGTCTCTTGTTACTGGGTGAGTATTGCCCCGCCCTGTGTATATATCTTGTATCTGTGTTAAAATAAAGGAGCCGATTTCCTGATTTATTTCAAGACTGGTCTTGTATGGCCAGCGGTGGTGTCCGTGGATCTGTGTTCGGACAGGGAAGCGGGAGACTAACGGAAATACCCTAGTGCAGTCAGGGTCCGGTTCCGTCACACTCTGCTATATAAATCCTGTATAACATATAGAGGCACATACAGTATGTAGCAGTTCGGTATGACGTCCACCTACATGCTGTCAGATATGTGCATACTGCTGGCAGCAACAAGTTAATAGCATTTGCTCAACCAAAAAAATAAATGAGACACGGATCTGGAAAAAAGCATGCAGCAAGTGAAGGCATTAGAGGAACACAGATCTGATAACTGGATTTTTGTGTCTCAAAGTGCTGATCTTTAGAACTGACACTCAGGGAAAGCTCAGCAATGAGGGGCCCATATTTCAGCTTTGATGGGCACCACAGAAGCCACCATATAAAAGTATCCCGCGTGTCACGGGAGTGAGAGAGAGTAAACCAACTACAATATTTCACAAAATGACTAAACTTGGCTGCTAATGAGGAAGAACTTTTTTTTTTTCACAGTCATAAGAATTTGTACCACAATCACGCTGTGCCCTCAGACTGTAGTGGGGGGTGGTTTTACCTCGGCGTCCTGCGACTTGGCGATATCCACCAGGGTTTTGGCAGCGGGATGTACCACGTCCAGGAGTTTTAGAATGGTGGCGCCATCATTAGATATAGTGGCCTTACCTAAAAGGAAAGCAGAATTTTCAAACATGGCCTCTGCATCCGATACAAAGAACTGCAAAAACTTTGGCCTGTTCATCATTTTTAAATGTTCCTTCTGTTTCAGATTTTCATGCGAACATTTTCTGTCATTATGAGAAAAAAGAAATTTAAGTGGTTGTAAAGTCTGAGATTTTTACCTTCATGCATTCTATGTATGATGGTAAAACCCCTTCTGTGTGCAGCTTCCCCTCCTAACACTTACCAGAGCAACGTCTTGATCCAGCAATGTGCATGAGAGCAGCGGCTCTCTCGGGTCTCCCCCTCCTCATTAGCTGAGACAGCACTGGGAGCCATTGTCCCTGATGCTGTCAATCACATCCAGTGAGAGTGACACAATGACAAGAGAGCGAGGGCAAGGTGGGGACGGGCTTTATGGGGCCAAGCAGTGACTGTGTGACGAGCCCACTTGTGTGCCCCCATTGAAAGCTGCTTACTATGGGGGCACTTGGCAGGAGGGAGGGGCCAGGAGAGCCAGCGGGGGACCCGAGAAGAGGATGATCAGAGCTGCTCTGTGCAAAACTACTACACAAAGCAGGTTTGTTTAACCTCTTTATGAACGGCAACCCGCTCCTGCACTGCTCCCGTCAGGCAGTTTATGTACATGGGCTGGACGGGAGCTGTGCGGGAGCGGGTTGCCGTTCATAAACGGCGCCCACATTTACAGGCTGTGTGCGCTCCCTGGGAGCGCGTAGCACCGGACACAGCAGAACACCGACTGCTGTACGGGACCTCTATGTGAGGTCCCGATCATGTGATCACTGATTGGCCAATCAATAATCACATGAATAAGAGGTCACAAGAGGTCGCTTCCTGACATCATTGCTTACTACGTGTGAAATCTGTGAATGATCACAGAGATCACATGGTACAGGGCTATTCACAACAGGCTTGTACCATGTGACAAGCTGTGACCAATCACAGCTCTTATTGTATTTCTCAATGGCTACAGGAATGCAGCCAGAGAGCAGGAAAAATTTATGGGTGTAAAAGCAATCAGTGTAAAGAAAAAAAATTAAAAAAAAAAATCTTCATCACCCCACACAAGTAGTACAGTGTCACTATGGTGACACTGTACTGCTAGGGTGACGGTATGCAAAAAAAAAAAAAAAAAAAAATGTAAAACAATTTTTGGTTATAAACTAATTTGGGTTATTTTTTTTTTTTTTTGACTAAAAATATAACTGAATACATTTTGGCCAAGATTTATAAAAGAAAAAATATTTGCAAAATTTTATATGAAAAACACTTTTCTAATTTTGTGGACTTTTTCATTTATATAGCAAAAAAATAAAAATAAAAATCCCAGCGGTGAATAAATAACACCAAAATAAAGTTTTTCCACTCTCAAAAAAATGCTAAAAAAATTCATATGGGTACAGTGTTGCATGACTGCGCAATTGTCAAAGTGTGATAAACCTGAAAATTGACCCGGACAGGAAGGGGGGGAAAGTGTCCGGACTGGAAGGGGGGGGGGGGAAAGTGTCCGGACTGGAAGGGGGGGGGGGGGGGGGAAGTGTCCGGACTGGAAGGGGGGGGGGGGGGGGGAAGTGACCGGACTGGAAGGGGGGGGGGGGGAAGTGTCCGGACTGGAAGGGGGGGGGGGGGGGGGGGGGGAAGTGTCCAGACTGGAAGGGGGGGGGGGGGGGGGGGAAGTGTCCGGACTGGAAGGGGGGGGGGGAGTGTCCGGACAGGAAGGGGGGGAAAAGTGTCCAGACAGGAAGGGGGGGAAAGTGTCCAGACAGGAAGGGGGGGAAAGTGTCCAGACAGGAAGGGGGGGAAAGTGTCCAGACAGGAAGGGGGGGAAAGTGTCCAGACAGGAAGGGGGGGAAAGTGTCCAGACAGGAAGGGGGGGAAAGTGTCCAGACAGGAAGGGGGGGAAAGTGTCCAGACAGGAAGGGGGGGAAAGTGTCCGGACTGGAAGGGGGGGAAAGTGTCCAGACAGGAAGGGGGGGAAGTGTCCAGACAGGAAGGGGGGGAAGTGTCCAGACAGGAAGGGGGGGAAGTGTCCAGACAGGAAGGGGGGGAAGTGTCCAGACAGGAAGGGGGGGAAGGGGTCCAGACAGGAAGGGGGGGAAGTGTCCAGACAGGAAGGGGGGGAAGTGTCCAGACAGGAAGGGGGGGAAGTGTCCAGACAGGAAGGGGGGGGAAGTGTCCAGACAGGAAGGGGGGGAAGTGTCCAGACAGGAAGGGGGGGAAAGTGTCCAGACAGGAAGGGGGGGAAAGTGTCCAGACAGGAAGGGGGGGAAAGTGTCCAGACAGGAAGGGGGGGAAAGTGTCCAGACAGGAAGGGGGGGAAAGTGTCCAGACAGGAAGGGGGGAAAGTGTCCAGACAGGAAGGGGGGGAAAGTGTCCAGACAGGAAGGGGGGGAAAGTGTCCAGACAGGAAGGGGGGGGAAAGTGTCCAGACAGGAGGGGGGGGAAGTGTCCAGAGGGGGGGAAAGTGTCCAGACAGGAAGGGGGGGAAAGTGTCCAGACAGGAAGGGGGGGAAAGTGTCCAGACAGGAAGGGGGGGAAAGTGTCCAGACAGGAAGGGGGGGGAAAGTGTCCAGACAGGAAGGGGGTGAAAGTGTCCAGACTGGAAGGGGGGAAAGTGTCCAGACTTGAAGTGGTTAGAAAAAAAAAAAAAAAATTTACAATCACTTCAAGGTGGAAGTTCATCTTTTCATAAACAAGAAAGAGGTGAACGCCATACACTTTTGCCGCCACTTCCTCTTTGGTCCTCCATGATCCGCCTGCACTACATACTTCATTTTAGTACCAGTGACATAAGTGGGTGCCTGTGCTTCTCTATGCAATGCAGGCAGATCAGGGCTGGTGGGAGGGGCCAGCGGGGTGCTATACATAGCTTCCTGAAAGCAGTACTGGTCTCAAGAGCCCTCCATCCAAATGCAAGCAGTGGGTTGGCTCTTGGCAGAAGTTATGCAAATGCCTTGCTGGGTGGGTGTCAGTCTGGAGGAGTGGGCGTTATGACGGGAGTGACTTTGGGTGGGGGGCCCCATGGAACCCAGCTCACTTTGGAGGGGTGGGGAGACCCCTGTCTCCGCTCCCCATATCCCTATTATGTGTAAGTCACCCTGTGCCTGTTAGGGGTGCAGGGTGATATACCCTGATATTGTGTAGGCATGTACAGGTGGGGGGTTGTTCATTGTCTAATGCCATGTGGTCGCATCCCATTGTTCTATTGTGTGTCTTGCTGGGGAGCAAACTATTATGAGATGTATGTGTATTGGCTTGGTGGGGGGTGTCTGCTGATGTGTCTCTTGTTGATAGAGATGTTTGCCCTGCCCTGTGTTATTATGTGGGGGGGGGGGGGGACGGTTCCCCTGAATGTATATATCTTGTATCTGTGTAAAAATAAAGTAGTCTATACCAGCGGAAATGACGGTTACCATAGAGACCACCGCCTGCGTTCCACGCCTCGCTCTCACTGATTGTCTGCAGATTACCTCCTTTTCTTATTACCATGTATTATCGGAGATGTGAGGCCGCTGGGCGCCATCTTACTACACCCGAACCGGGATCCCTGTCTTCGAACAGAATTACTGGGACAGTTACCTTCTATTAGGGAGATTACAGTAAACAATGATTGACATTTAAATGGTACAATCAGGTGGGACTTCTCGTCCAATAGAAGTCGTGGGCGTGTCCCGCTCTATCTAGACTGTGGTGGAGGAGGGATGGGAGACTCCTGATGTTCCCCTTGCACAGGGAGCCATGGGGGGCCCGCCTGACCCTCCGCCTCATACTGCTCCTCTCACTCCCCCCTACTGGCCAATGGTTAGTATAACAGCTGGGGGGTGCCAGACCCTGGATGATTGGGGGGTCATGGGGTGACGTCTGAGCCTGGATGATTGGGGGATCACGGGGCGATGTCTGACCCTGGATGATTGGGGGGTCATGGGGTGATGTCTGACACTGGGTGATTGGGGGGGGATAGTGGGGTGATGTCTGACCCTGGATGATTGGGGGGTCATGGGGTGATGTCTGACCCTGGATGATTGGGGGTTATGGGGTGATGTCTGACCCTGGATGATTGGGGGGTCATGGGGTGATGTCTGACCCTGGATGATTGGGGTAACAGCTGGGGGATCATGGGGTGATGTCTGACCCTGGATGATTGGGGTAACATCTGGGGGATCATGGGGTGATGTCTGACCCTGGATGATTGGGGATCATGGGTGGTGATGTCTGACCCTGGGTGATTGGGGGGTCACGGAGCGATGTCTGACCCTGGGTGATTGGGGGGTTTATTTCAAGACTGATCTTGTATGGTCAGCGGCTGGTGTCCGTGGACGGTATTATAACGGAAATACCCAAGCGCAGACTGGGTCCGGTTCCGTTACAGGCGTTCCTAGGTAGACCACCCTAGATAACACCTACATGTGATGCTGAGCCTCCATGGGTGAAAGAACCGAAATGCAAGGAGTACACGTTGGCTGGGGCGAGTCACCCTCGGGTTTCATACATCTCTCCCTGCTCTAGGTCTAGGCTCTGTTCCCGCCCACTCACCTCTGTCATCTACAATGAGTTTGTCCATGCCGCGGGGGCCCAGGGTGGTGCGGACGGCTTCGGCGATCACCTGGCAGGCGTTGATGTTGCTGACGAGCTGTGGCACCCCCTGCGAGGTGTCTGTGCCCTCCTTCAGGAGGATGACAGGCGTGGGCTGCAAGAGAAAGGACACAGCAATGAGGAAGGCTTTAAAGGCGCACTCCGCTGCCGTCACTAGACGTTTCCTACCCATCTATAAACTATATATACACTAGTCAAAAAAAATGAAAGGAACACTTTCAGATCTCAATGGGGAGGAATCTCCTGCTGGATCTCTATACTGACACGGGGGGATGGGTGAGAAACGTAAGGACGCCCCATCGCTTGATGGAAATGATCGACCTACTGAGGTCAGAGGAGAACGGGCAGACTGGTTCTAGATAGAAAGGCAACAGCAACTCATGTCAATATGGACCAAAGTCTCTGAGAAATATTTCCAACACCTTGTTGACTATATGCCATGAAGAATGAAGGCCGTTCTGAAGGCAAAATGGGGTGACTGGTTGCTAGGACATCACAGGTCCTAGCAACCAACAGTGGCACATCTACTGGGGTAACCTATGCGGGAAGGATGGGCAATGCGGGGAAGTAATGAAGACCATAGGCTGATCTTAGGACCCGTGTGTGAGGACCACTGGCCCTAATTGAGGGACTGATAAAACCTTGCACTGGGCCAGATCTGGTGAATGAAGAGTAGACGATGGCCCAGAATGACCTCAGCCATTAAAAGTGACTTTATGTACGCATCCCAGTTCTATATGGATGTACATGTGTGGAGGGGAAATGTTTGCACTGTAGACCACTTCATCTATGGGATCGTTCCAGCAGAAAGACTCGGCACACATTACCGAGTACAGGGGCCCCTAGACAACAGTGCGATGGAGCCGGGGGGAGTACAGGGGTGCTGCACAGAGAACAGATTACTGGCAGATCCACCAGGAACCTATGGGAGAATACACAAACCAAGATGGACCATACCATGACTCCACCGGGGGCCACACTGGATGAAAACTGAACTTAGAACATTGTTGATGGTACTTAGAAAATCCCAGGGATTCCCTATTACTACCATAGAAAGTAATCAGGCAGGGCATTGAGTGCTTCTTAAATACGGGAGCAGAGCAGGAAGCACAGTGCTCCCCCCAGATCAGGATAGAATGGCCTGTCCCATCGCCTGCGGGCAGCACAGGGCTCCCCCAGACCAGGATAGAATGGTCAGTCCCAGATCAGGACAGAATGGCCTGTCCCATCGCCTGCAGGCAGCACAGGGCTCCCCCAGACCAGGATAGAATGGCCTGTCCCATCCCCTGCGGGCAGCACAGGGCTCCCCCAGATCAGGACAGAATGGCCTGTCCCATCGCCTGCAGGCAGCACGGGGCTCCCCCAGATCAGGACAGAATAGCCTGTCCCATCGCCCGCAGGCAGCACAGGGCTCCCCCCACATCTACAGACAAATGGCCTCGCCCGTTCCCCTTTAGGCCCGTTATCCCAGCTGACCACGTGACCCGCCGCTCCCCTTAGTCTCCTGGGGGACCCCCGCAAGATGATATCTGTGTGTCCGGCACCCTGGGGCCCCCGACTGTGGACAGAGCAGCGTCTGGCCCTGGTCCCCGGGGAGGATGGCTCCGGATTGGGTCACTCACCATCATCTTGTCTCCGCGCTCAGTAACCCGGCCGGCTCTGTGCTTCCCACAATCCACCGGGGCTTAGGAACCTTCCGGAACCTTCCAACCGTCTATTCACTGTGGGAGGAGCTCTCTTCTGTCACTATGGAGACTCCAGACTGCGTTTCTCGCCTCTATTCCAGAGCAAGGACCTTGATTGGCCGATGAGCTTATCGGTGGCTTGCCATTGGTCGGAAGTCATACCAGCGGAAATGACGGTTACCATAGAGACCACCGCCTGCGTTCCACGCCTCGCTCTCACTGATTGGCTGAAGATTACTCCTTTTCATATTACCATGTATTATCGGAGATGTGAGGCCGCTGGGCGCCATCTTACTACACCCGAACCGGGATCCCTGTCTTCGAACAGAATTACTGGGACGGTTACCTTCTATTAGGGAGATTACAGTAAACAATGATTGACGTTTAAATGGTACAATCAGGTGGGACTTCTCGTCCAATAGAAGTCGTGGGCGTGTCCCGCTCTATCTGGACTGTGGTGGAGGAGGGATGGGAGACTCCTGATGTTCCCCCCTGCACAGGGAGCCATGGGGGCCCGCCTGACCCTCCGCCTCATACTGCTCCTCTCACTCCCCCTGCTGGCCAATGGTTAGTATAACAGCAGGGGGGTGCCAGACCCTGGATGATTGGGGGGTCATGGGGTGATGTCTGACCCTGGAAGATTGGGGTAACAGCTGGGGGATTATGGGGTGATGTCTGACCCTGTATGATTGGGGTAACAGCCGGGGGATCATGGGGTGATGTCTGACCCTGGAAGATTGGGGTAACAGCCGGGGGATCATGGGGTGATGTCTGACCCTGGGTGATTGGGGTAACAGCTGGGGGATCATGGGGTGATGTCTGACCCTGGGTGATTGGGGTAACAGCCGAGGGATCATTGGGTGATGTCTGAGCCTGGGTGATTGGGGGTAACAGCTGGGGGATCACGGGGTGATGTCTGTCCCTGGATGATTGGGGTAGCAGCTGGGGGATCACGGGGTGATGTCTGACCCTGGATGATTGGGGTAACAGCTGGGGGATCATGGGGTGATGTCTGACCCTGGGTGATTGGTGGTAACATCTGGGGGGTCATGGGGTGATGTCTGACCCTGGGTGATTGGGGTAACATCTGGGGGGGTCATGGGGTGATGTCCGACCCTGGGTGATTGGGGGATCATGGGGTGATGTCTGACCCTGGGTGACTGGGGGATCATGGGGTGATGTCTGACCCTGGGTGATTGGGGGTAACATCTGGGGGGGTCATGGGGTGATGTCTGACCCTGGGTGATTGGGGGATCATGGGGTGATGTCTGACCCTGGGTGTGACTGGGGGATCATGGGGTGATGTCTGACCCTGGGTGATTGGGGGATCATGGGGTGATGTCTGACACTGGGGATCATGGGGTGATGTCTGACTCTGTATGATTGGGGTAACAGCTGGGGGATCATGGGGTGATGTCTGACTCTGTATGATTGGGGTAACAGCCGGGGGATCATGGGGTGATGTCTGACCCTGGAAGATTGGGGTAACAGCCGGGGGATCATGGGGTGATGTCTGACCCTGGAAGATTGGGGGGTGGTAACAGCCGAGGGATCATTGGGTGATGTCTGAGCCTGGGTGATTGGGGTAACAGCCGGGGGATCACGGGGTGATGTCTGACCCTGGATGATTGGGGGTAGCAGCTGGGGGATCACGGGGTGATGTCTGACCCTGGATGATTGGGGTAGCAGCTGGGGGGATCACGGGGTGATGTCTGACCCTGGATGATTGGGGGTAACAGCCGGGGGATCATGGGGTGATGTCTGACCCTGGAAGATTGGGGTAGCAGCTGGGGGATCACGGGGTGATGTCTGACCCTGGATGATTGGGGTAACAGCCGGGGGATCATGGGGTGATGTCTGACCCTGGAAGATTGGGGTAACAGCCGGGGGATCATGGGGTGCTGCTAGACCCTGTATGCTCGGGGTAACTGCTGGGGGTCTTAAGGCCCTGTATGGTGTAAGGTTGGGGTAACAGCTGGGGACGTGGAGTGCTGCTTGCCCATGCTGAATCACTGCAATGATGGCGGGTGCCTAATGTTCAGCTTTAGATTGTTGATGCTATTATGCCCCCCCCGCCCATCCTTCACCCCCCCCCCCATCCTTCACCCCCCCCATCCATCATCTCACCCCCCCATCCATGCACCCTGTTGCTCACCATGCTGATCCTTGTTGGGTATAAGGATTGAGAGGATGGAGGAGGGGAATTGCTGTAGAGTGAGCTGTGATAATGAACCCTGGGTTATTCTGGGATGTTTCTCCCTCTTTATTTAGCGCCACCTGATGGCTGACAGCGGCCTCTTCTATCCACAGGTCTCCGCTTCCAGGAATATCTGTACTTCCAGGTGCTGAGTCCCGGGGACATCCGGTACATATTCACCGCCACCCCGGCCAAGGACTTCGGAGGAGTGTTTGTAAGCTTTGTACACACAGGATTTCTGTATCTCTTGGTGTCACAAAAGACGACGTCCATCCATGTGATGAGGCTGCATTCTCAGTGATGTCATAGCTCTCTAGTGAATGGATAGGCTGCATTCTCAGTGATGTCATAACTCTCTAGTGAATGGATAGGCTGCATTCTCAGTGATGTCATAGCTCTCTAGTGAATGGATAGGCTGCATTCTCAGTGATGTCACCCCTCTCTAGTGAATGGATAGGTTGCATTCTCAGTGATGTCATCGCTCTCTAGTGAATGGATAGGCTGCATTCTCAGTGATGTCATAGCTCTCTAGTGAATGGATAGGCTGCATTCACAGCGATGTCATAGCTCTCTAGTGAATGGATAGGCTGCATTCTCAGTGATGTCATAGCTCTCTAGTGAATGGATAGGCTGCATTCTCAGTGATGTCACCTCACTCTAGTGAATGGATAGGCTGCATTCTCAGTGATGTCACCGCTCTCTAGTGAATGGATAGGCTGCATTCTCAGTGATGTCATAGCTCTCTAGTGAATGGATAGGCTGCATTCACAGCGATGTCATAGCTCTCTAGTGAATGGATAGGCTGCATTCTCAGTGATGTCATAGCTCTCTAGTGAATGGATAGGCTGCATTCTCAGTGATGTCACCGCACTCTAGTGAATGGATAGGCTGCATTCTCAGTGATGTCACCGCTCTCTAGTGAATGGATAGGCTGCATTGTGGGTGATGTTGTCACTCTCTAGTGATAGGCTGCATTCTCAGTGATGTCACTGCTGTCTAGTGAATGGATAGGCTGCATTCTCGGTGATGTCATCGCTCTCTAGTGAACAGATAGGCTGCATTGTCAGTGATGTCATCCCTCTCTAATAACTGGCTCATCACTTTAATTAAGCTATTTATCTTCTGCTTTATTCATTATATAATGGTGAAGAAATACACAATCTTTAGTGAATAATCATTATTGATATCAATGTTTTTATTGTAATCTTCATCCTCTGTTTCTTTCTTGTCTGTGAATCCAGTGCAAGGGTGGACTGACAACTCATGGGGCCCCCGGGCAATAGGGGATCATGGGGCCCCTGTGTCCTTCCCAACCTCAAAAAAGCCTATGAAAAAGGTACCAGGGGCATCTCATGGGGCCCCCCTACTGACCCCGGGCCCTCGGGCAGTGCCCAAGTTTCCAAATGGTCAGTCCGCCCCTGATCCAGTGTAATGGTGGGCATTGGATAAGAGGGCGTTGTCAGGTATGTGATGACCGTAAGTCACGCATTGACTTGTATCTATTCCCATAGAGCCAGCGGTATGACCAGATCCACTTGGTCCCAGCGGATCCTCCGGAGGCGTGCGGAGAGCTCCATAACGGGGTGTTCATCCAAGGACAGATCGCTCTGGTGGAGAGGGGGTGAGTCTCCTCCATCAACCACTCAGGTTGTTGAATTCATCTCTCTGGGGTCACGTCTGAGCCGCGATGACCGACGGACCTTTAGAAGGTTAAATGGAAACGCTTGACATGTTAAATAGCGCGTTACCCTGACATCCTTTTTTTATTTTTACACGTTCCTCGTATCCATGGAAACAGAATGATTACAGCGAATGTGAAATCTCCGAATACACAATTAGATCGCAGAGACGAGGCGTTTAACCCCTTGTTACTTCCGTGGAGACGCGGTGACCGCAACTGCTGGGCAAATGTCAGGCGTGACTCAGACGGTCATCGTCATCACTCATGCTGACAGCTGCCAGAAGGCGTTGTGACGTCACAGGAGCCCATTGGGGGAGGTTTGGTGATGTAATAAACTTTGTAAAGAAATATTTTCTTTAGGAGGTTAGAAAACTTTTGGTGAGCTCTTATAGTGATTTTATTTATTCAGCTTACTAAAAATTGCCCGCGTTCACTATATTCGCTCTCCCCGGACCCCGCGTTCACTATATCCGCTCTCCCCGGACCCCACGTTCACTATATTCGCTCTCCCCGGACCCCGCGTTCACTATATCCGCTGTCCCAGGACCCCACGTTCACTATATTCGCTCTCCCCGGACCCCGCGTTCACTATATCCGCTGTCCCAGGACCCCGCGTTCACTATATCCGCTTTCCCCGGACCCCGCGTTCACTATATCCGCTTTCCCCGGACCCCGCGTTCACTATATCCGCTTTCCCCGGACCCCGCGTTCACTATGTCCGCTTTCCCCGGACCCCGCGTTCGCTATGTCCGCTGTCCCGGGACCCCGCGTTCGCCATGTCCGCTGTCCCGGGACCCCGCGTTCGCCGTATCCGCTGTCCCGGGACCCCGCGTTCGCCGTATCCGCTGTCCCGGGACCCCGCATTCGCCGTATCCGCTGTCCCGGGACCCCGCGTTCGCCGTATCCGCTGTCCCGGGACCCCGCGTTCGCCGTATCCGCTGTCCCGGGACCCCGCGTTCGCCGTATCCGCTGTCCCGGGACCCCGCGTTCGCCGTATCCGCTGTCCCGGGACCCGGCGTTCGCCGTATCCGCTGTCCCGGGACCCGGCGTTCGCCGTATCCGCTGTCCCGGGACCCGGCGTTCGCCGTATCCGCTGTCCCGGGACCCGGCGTTCGCCGTATATCCGCTGTCCCGGGACCCGGCGTTCGCCGTATCCGCTGTCCCGGGACCCGGCGTTCGCCGTATCCGCTGTCCCCGGGACCCGGCGTTCGCCGTATCCGCTGTCCCGGGACCCGGCGTTCGCCGTATCCGCTGTCCCGGGACCCGGCGTTCGCCGTATCCGCTGTCCCGGGACCCGGCGTTCGCCGTATCCGCTGTCCCCGGACCCGGCGTTCGCCGTATCTGCTGTCCCCGGACCCGGCGTTCGCCGTATCCGCTGTCCCCGGACCCGGCGTTCGCCGTATCCGCTGTCCCCGGACCCGGCGTTCGCTGTATCCCAGTCACAGTCCAGACGGAAATCCAATGGAGAATCTGTGGCCAGACTTGAAAATTGCTGTTCCCAGACGCTCTCCATCCAATCTGACAGCTTGAGTGATTCTGCAAAGAAGAATGGGCAGAAATGTCCCTCTCTAGATGTGCAAAGAGACATCCCCAAAAAGACTTGCAGCTGGAATTGCAGCCAAAGGGGGTCCTACAAAGTGTTGACTCCGGGGGGCTGAATACAAATGCCGCCACACTTTTCACAGATTTATTTGTAAAAAATGTTGAAAACCATTTCTCATTTTCCTTCCACTTCACAATTATGTGCCACTTTGTGTCGGTCTATCACATCCAATCCCAATAAATACATTGTAACATGACAACATGGGGGACATTTCAAGGGGGAGGAAGACCTCCTTTTTTTTTTTTTTTTTTTTTTTTTTTTTTTTTTTTTTAAAGGCACTGTACAAGAGAAGGAAGGAGGGAGAGAGTAGAATAAAAAGAGAGGGAGAAGATGAGAGAGGGAGGGAGATGGGAAGGAGAAATGGAGAAAGACAGACCGCAGGTTTTCTGGTGTATGGAGGCCTCTATAGGTCTGTATGCAGTACAAGAGCCATGTGTCAGCACATTTGTATCATTCGGGATTGGAAGGAGATTTTGGCAGAATCCCACCCCAGCCCTGGCAATAGCAAGAGGAAGGAAAAAGTTACAATTACGTATCTGCTTGATTAGTGTGGGTATATTGACCGCTTTTGCTGTCAGAGCCGTTTTTTTTTAACTTTAAAGCGGAGCTCCACCTGAAAAGGGAAGTTCCGCTTTAAGCCCTTGTCCCCCCCGCTCCCCATTAAGGATTGGCACCTTTGGGGAGCGGGTGCCCGAATTTGACAGGTACCCGCTCCCACTTCTGCTGCGATGGCCTAGGCGATCGGAAGCGGAAGTTGTCCTCCCTCCCCGTAGTCTTCTGGGACATGTGACGGGTCCCAAAAGACAACGGGGCCATTCACAATGTGCAGTGTTTCTTGCACATGCTCAGTGAGCACCCGGCTGTGAAGCCGCAAGCTGTCACAGCCAGGTGCCCACACTAAAGATGCCGGCGCCGGGGAGAGAAGACGGCTGGTGAAACCAGCCATGGTGAGGACACCGCTGGACCAAGGGACAGGTAAGTGGCTGTATTTTAAAAGTCAGCAGCTACAGTTTTTGTAGCTGCTGACTTTTATTTTTTTTATCTTTTATTTTTATTTATTATTTTTTTTCATCCACTTTAATGATTTTAGGCCTGAAGATAACTTACAACCCCCATAAGAGTGTATACCAAAGCAGGGACCCTACCTAGAGGATAAACTGGTGGTATTTTTTAAGTCATGCAATATTCGTACAATGGTTTATTAATTGAAAAAAAAAAATTTGGCAAAAACCGCAAGTTTTTGGTGAAGTATAAAAGAGGTTGCACCAAGTAAATAGATATGCAACATGTCAAGACATCGAATTTCAGTACCCACATTTTTCGATAGGCAACACTTTAACCTCCCTAGCGGTCTGATTATGTCAGTATTTCTGTGCTGAAAGCGGTACATTTTTTTGCATGGAAATATGTATTTTTTTATTATAGGTCTGTAATTTTTAGGAATAACTCACTGAAATCTGTCCGAACAAGAGTCTAGTAAACATCCCGGGGAGGATAAACTTTGAAACACGAAATCATAAATTATAATATAATAAATAATCCTAAAAATATTAATATAATAAATGTAATTCAATAATATAATCAAACCAAAAACACTGAAATGTGAAATATAGCGCCAAGTTCGCACATCGCTGAGCTCAGTCGCAGAATCGTTTTCAGTGTCTGATGAGGAATTTCCCCCACGAATCATTATCACTCAATTCTGCAAGTGGTTCTGATTTACTATCGCTGTTCTCTAGCCGGTCTAAAACCGCGTCTGACCTAAAGGGATGCTTTTTGGACGCCATGGACGTTTCTCAGTTTCCAGGCAGAAAGAACAGTAAAAATGCAGGCAGGGCGCCGGACAAAGCACTCGGGACAAAATGTATGTGAAATGGTTTGATACAGGAATGTTATACTATGTGATTTTAGTGTATTTAGTGAATGTCACTTTTTAACATTTCAAATTTAACGCCGTTCCGTCCCCCACACGTCCCGACGACGCAGGGAACGGAACCCGGAAGACAGATGCCGGCATCAGCCGGAGGACATTACAGGGGACACTGCAGGAGGGACATCGTGGGAGTGCAGGACAAGGTAAGTGAAGAAGAGATCCCGGAGCAACGCTGCAGTGTATTCCTGAGTGTAGCTCGGGGTTACCGCTTGTGGTGCTGAAAACTTTACCCCGAGCTACACTCGGGAATACCTCTTCAAATCTAGGGACACTATGAATAATGGCCCTAGATTTAGAAAAAAAAAAAAAAAAAAAAAAAAAAAAAAAAAAATATATATATATATATATATGTATATGTATGTATATATATATATATATATATATATATATATATATATATATATATATATATATATATATATATATTTTTTTTTTTTTTTTTTTTTCGATTTAAATAATATAAAAATAAAAAAAATTATATATATATATATACACACACACACACACACACACACACACACACACATTATATAAAAATAATAAAAATAAAAAAAAAAAATTATATATATATATATATATATATATATATATATATATATATATATATATATATATATATATAATTTTTTATTTTTATTTTTATTATTTTTATATAATGTGTGTGTGTGTGTGTGTGTATATATATATGTATATATATATATATAATTTTTTTTATTTTTATATTATTTAAATCAAAAAAAAAAAAAATATATATATATATATATATATATATATATATATATATATTTATATATATATATATATATATATATATATATAAAAATTTTTTTTTTTTTTTTTTTATCCAATAGGGGACCAAAAATCTCTTATGTGACCCTATTTTTGTTGTGATGGGTTTTCTTTTATGAGATATCGGGGGGGGGGGTTATTTTGGACCTCTGACATTTTACCTGCCCTCCATTTTCGCTAATAGAGTGCAGATCTCCCACTCCTGGGGGTGCATGGCAGCCATTGGGTGACTGTACAGCTGTTTGATTGCTTCCACCTGAGTAATCCTTCTCTGTCCCGACCTCCTGTTGTATAACCCAGCTGTATCGGAATTTCTGTGTCCCTCAATGGACTCCATGAAAATTTTTGTGTGGAAAGTATAAAAACCTAATTTTTTTGCCTGTTGTTGAGTTGTCTGCTGACCTTTTTTATGTCTATAAAAGCAGACAAAACGCATCTACAATGTTCACTAAGACTTAAAATATCAGTTTTGGGTGGAATGAGCCTTTCAGCATGCGCACAGCTCTTGTGACATTTCCTTTGGTTCCTCCCTTTACAGCAGCTGCTCTTTCCTGTCCAAGACGCGGGTGATTCAGGAAAATGGCGGCATAGCGGTGATCATCGCCGACAACGCATCAGACAATGACAGCATCTATGTGGAGATGGTCCAGGATAACACGGGAAGAACGGCGGATATCCCGGCCCTGTTCTTACTCGGCAGAGATGGGTATGTGTGTGGGATCAGTGTGAGCTCTGCAGTTCTCATGGGGGGTTTAAAGTGTACCTGTCACCCATCCGCACTGAAGCAGCTATCAGGAGTCAGCCAATCATAAAATGTTGACCTTTTAGTTCATTCGATCAGGGTTGGGCAGCCTTGACACCCAGCTCTGCTGAAACTACAAATCCCATCATGCTTCTGCCTTTGGGAGTCATCTCTGTCAGAGTCTTGTAGTGCCTCCTGAGACTTGTAGTTCTACAACATCTGGAGTGCTGAAGTTCCTGCCCCTGCTTTAGATCTTATGACATAATGATGAGATATATGACACATCAAGCTCTCAGCATTTTAAAGTGTTACTAAACCTGGGATCCTGCATTCACTATATCTGCTCTCCCCGGACCCCACGTTCACTATATCCGCTCTCCCCCCGGACCCCGCGTTCACTATATCCGCTCTCCCCGCACCCCGCGTTCACTATATCCGCTCTCCCCGCACCCCGCGTTCACTGTATCCGCTCTCCCCGGACCCCGCGTTCACTCTATCCGCTCTCCCCGGACCCCGCGTTCACTCTATCCGCTCTCCCCGGACCCCGCGTTCACTCTATCCGCTCTCCCCGGACCCCGCGTTCACTCTATCCGCTCTCCCCGGGCCCCGCGTTCACTCTATCCGCTCTCCCCGGGCCCCGCGTTCACTCTATCCGCTCTCCCCGGGCCCCGCGTTCACTCTATCCGCTCTCCCCGGGCCCCGCGTTCACTGCATCCGGTCTCCCCGGGCCCCGCGTTCCCTGCATCCGGTCTCCCCGGGGCCCCGCGTTCCCTGCATCCGTCTCCCCGGGCCCCGCGTTCCCTGCATCCGGTCTCCCCGGGCCCCGCGTTCCCTGCATCCGCTCTCCCCGGGCCCCGCGTTCCCTGCATCCGCTCTCCCCGGGCCCCGCGTTCCCTGCATCCGCTCTCCCCGGGCCCCGCGTTCCCTGCATCCGCTCTCCCCGGGCCCCGCGTTCCCTGCATCCGCTCTCCCCGGGCCCCGCGTTCCCTGCATCCGCTCTCCCCGGGCCCCGCGTTCCCTGCATCCGCTCTCCCCGGGCCCCGCGTTCCCTGCATCCGCTCTCCCCGGGCCCCGCGTTCCCTGCATCCGCTCTCCCCGGGCCCCGCGTTCCCTGCATCCGCTCTCCCCGGGCCCCGCGTTCCCTGCATCTGCTCTCCCACAGTACACAGAACATGGAAATGCAATTATTTTAGTAAATATAAATTGCTAAATCCCTTTTCTAATCAGCAGTATATAGCAGTCTCGTGACTTCTATCAGTGTCCAGCAGAGCACTGGTTATAGCTTGTAGGAGGATTTTTCATTCTCCCCTATGAGGCTGCATAGCTCCTGACCTCTGTCTGGACAGTGCTGATTGGCCTGTGCTAATTACATGCACTCTCCCAAGGGAAAAAAAAAACCTCTAGCAATACATACAAAACTGAGCATGTGCAGCTTGCCCCCAAGGCTCTGTTCTATCGACAGATGGATTGGGGACAGTAGAAGGGAAGGCTCAGAGAAGACAGGATCAAAGAGTCTTTTTACACAATTAGGATGATTAACCCCTTAGGTTCCACAGTGAGTATAACAAGCATGCTTTACTGCATCTACAGACTGATTGTACTGTTGGGGGTTTAGTAACACTTTAATAACTTCATATTTTTATAGGTTAACACATTTAAAATAAACATTCCTCTGTAAACTTTATTACACTTCTTACCCCAGCACTTGCAGTTTACAATTTTCAATGCTGCTGGCTCCTGCTTTCTTAGTGCTGCTTCCCTGAATTTTCCGGTCTTCACAGAGTGGTGACAGTACAGTCTGAAGCCAGTCTGTTAGCTTGGAGAGTGGAGGGGGAAGGAGGAGCAGGGGAGTGCCCCGCTATTCTGGGCTATTGGTCATCCAAGTTAATGTGAAAAGTTGTATAACATAAGTCCACCATGTGATTTAAAAAGAAAAAAGAAAAAAAAAAAGTAAAAAATTTAATTTTTTTTATCACATAGTGGACTTATTTTATACAACTTTTCACATTAATTTGGATTACCAATGATTCACTATTTTATGAATTTATTTATATATATATTTTTTATGATGATTATCATAGGTTTGTATTTAGCACAACATTAAGGGGAATTAATGTATTTTATTAGAATAATATCACTCCTAGGGGGTATATATTTTAATATTGGAGCGCAACACAATTGCACTTAATTTGGCTCCATAGGATGCTGTAAGAGAAAGGAGCCACCCTGAACCAGGAAGCCTCGGGCAGTGGTCATAGTTGGTGCCTAAACATCCAGTTAACCGCCTCCCGCCCTCCCTATAGTGCAATGACCGGCGCAAGGTGGTTCTCTCATTCTGATAGGATGTCATATGACGTCTTCCCATTCTCACTGCGCATGCGCGGCTCAGGGAGTGTGCAGCGCGGCGATCGCCGGTGCGCTGTGTCCCTCGGACACAGCGGATCACGGAAAGAGCCGAAGATGTCGGCTCGGTCATGTGATCAGCTGTGTCCAATCACAGCTGATCATATGTAAACAGGGAAATACCGGTTATCGGCATTTCTCTCCTCTCGAGCTGTCACGCTGACAGAGGAGAGCCAGTAATCGGCTCTCTGTGGAGGGGACATGTACACTGATCATCAGGGCCCATCAGTGCCAGCAGTCAGTGCCACCTGCCAGTGCCCATCAGTGCCGCATATCAGTGCCCATCTGAGCTGCCTTTCAATGTCACCCATCAGTGCCAGTCAGTGCCACTTGTCAGTGCTGCCAATCAGTGTCGCCTATCAGTGCCATATATCAGTGTCGTGTATCAGTGCTGCCTTTCAGTGTCCATCAGTGATGCCTGTCAATGCCCATCAGTGCCACCTACCAGTGCCTCCTCATCAGTGTTCATCAGTGCAGCCTATCAGTGCCCATCACTGCAGCCTCATTAGCGCACATCAGTGAAAGAGAAAAATCCCTTATTTACAAAATTGTGTAACAAAAACTAAGAAAAAACTTTTTTTTTTTTTTCAAAATTTTCAGTGGTTTTTAGTTTGTTTAAGAAAAAATAAAAATCCCAGAGGTGATTAAATACCACCAAAACAAAGCTCTATCTGTCTCAAAAAAATGATAAAAATTTCATATGGGTACAGTGTTGCATGACCGCACAATTGTCATTCAAAGTGTGACAGCGCTGAAAGCTGGAAATTGGCCTGGGCAGGAAGGGGGTAGAAGTGCCCGGTGGTCAGGAAGGGGGTAGAAGTGCCCTGTAGGCAGGAAGGGGGTAGAAGTGCCCGGTAGGCAGGAAGGGGGTAGAAGTGCCCTGTAGGCAGGAAGGGGGTAGAAGTGCCCTGTAGGCAGGAAGGGGGTAGAAGTGCCCTGTAGGCAGGAAGGGGGTAGAAGTGCCCTGTAGGCAGGAAGGGGGTAGAAGTGCCCTGTAGGCAGGAAGGGGGTAGAAGTGCCCTGTAGGCAGGAAGGGGGTAGAAGTGTTCCTGTAGTCAGGAAGGGGGTAGAAGTGTCCGGTAGGCAGGAAGGGGGTAGAAGTGTCCTGTAGGCAGGAAGGGGGTAGAAGTGCCCTGTAGGCAGGAAGGGGGTAGAAGTGCCCTGTAGGCAGGAAGGGGGTAGAAGTGCCCTGTAGGCAGGAAGGGGGTAGAAGTGTCCTGTAGGCAGGAAGGGGGTAGAAGTGTCCTGTAGGCAGGAAGGGGGTAGAAGTGTCCGGTGGGCAGGAAGGGGGTAGAAGTGCCCTGTAGGCAGGAAGAGGGTAGAAGTGTCCTGTAGGCAGGAAGGGGGTAGAAGTGTCCTGTAGGCAGGAAGGGGGTAGAAGTGTCCTGTAGGCAGGAAGGGGGTAGAAGTGCCCTGTAGGCAGGAAGGGGGTAGAAGTGCCCTGTAGGCAGGAAGGGGGTAGAAGTGTCCGGTGGGCAGGAAGGGGGTAGAAGTGCCCTGTAGGCAGGAAGAGGGTAGAAGTGCCCTGTAGGCAGGAAGGGGGTAGAAGTGCCCTGTAGGCAGGAAGAGGGTAGAAGTGTCCTGTAGGCAGGAAGGGGGTAGAAGTGTCCTGTAGGCAGGAAGGGGGTAGAAGTGCCCGGTAGGCAGGAAGGGAGTTTAAGTACCCTGTAGGCAAGTGGTTAAAGAGTAACTCCAGCCCAGGATATTTTTTTCCTGCCCCTCCTTGCACCTTCGCTGCCATCGCGACCCCTTTGGGGGTCGAACGACCCTTTCACGGGGGTCGCCTAAGACCATCAAAAAACACATATTTCCGATGTGTAAAGAGCAGCTACTGTGTAGAAAGAAGCAGTATTGGAGGTAAAACGACACTCATGAATTATAATTGCTGGGTAAATAATTTTATGGTTGGGGGTCCCCACAACATGAGGGACTGTATTAAAGGGTCGCGGCATTAGGAAGGTTGAGAACCACTGCTGTAGAGACTTATGACCGCTCTGCACACCTGTGCCAGTTTCCCATGAATGCACACACAACATGGATACCTGCGGCGTCTGCACGGGAAACCCCCGCATGTGCCATAGGTCTCTTCCCAGCCCCAAAACCCTGCAGCAGCACATCTGCATACACCTGGAATCTCAGTGTGACATGGACATCCCAGGAGGCAGCAGGGGGCGCTATGTTCATTCTTTGGTAGGACAGGCTCTTGATCATGTGATCACTGGCAGCCAACCACAATGATGATTGGGAAGCCCTTACAGGCAGGGGCGGACTGACCATTCAGGAACCCGGGCACTGCCCGAGGGCCCGGGGTCAGTAGGGGGCCCCATGAGATGCCCCTGGTACCTTTTTCATAGGCTTTTTTTTGGTGTGGTTTAAGTGTGGGCAAGGACACAGGGGCCCCATGATCCCCTATTGCCCGGGGGCCCCATGAGTTGTCAGTCCGCCCCTGCTTACAGGGCTGGTGTTTTTGAGGTTAATTAACATTTTCTGTGTTTTTCTCTTTATCAGGTATATGATTCAGCGCTCCTTAGAGCAGCACGGACTCCCCTGGGCCATCATTTCCATCCCCGTCAATGTCAGCAGTATCCCCACCTTCGAGTTCAAGCAGCCCCCATGGACCTTCTGGTAGAGCGCATTTGGCACCCTCGACCATTGGTGGCCCACCAACACATGTTCTACGCTTGACCAGTAGGGGGCAGTCTGTGTCATTTTTATGTAGATACCTTGAAGTGGAGAGTCCAGCCAAACCCCCCCACTGTTGGCACTTACCTTGACTGGGTGGTAGCTTTCTGTGTCACTTACCTGCCCACCCATCGGACCATGAAGAAGCTGACCGCCTCCCCTTGTTCCCTGATATTTTATACAATGCTCCTCTAAGCTGCCCAAACCACGCCCCCTCCGGCTCCCGGTGCCTGAAAGCATCGTAGATTACAAGTACAGTCCACACTAGCGCCTGCCGGGGTGAATGGGCCCTAACAGTGCCGGTACCCCCACTGGGATCTCTGCTGTGCAGGGAGAGAGAAATGTGGAGTTCAGGCACTTAAACTGCCAGGATTTTCAAAATGCATTTAATAAAAATAACAAAAAATTTTGTAATGAATCCCGAGACTCGAGAGGTTTTTTTTTTTTTTGTTTGTATAATTGTCTGAAGTTCCTCTTTTTTTAAAGTGTTTCTCAAAAATAAAAATTCATCTTTTGTAAGGCATTCGTGAGATATATGCAAAGTCCCAGGGGCTGACTGACAACTTATGGGGCCCCCGGGCAATAGAGGATCATGGGGCCCCTGTGTCCTTGTCCACACCCAAAAAAGTAAATGAAAGGTACCAGGGCCATCTCATGGGGCCCCCTACTGACCCCGGGCCCTCGGGCAGTGCCCGAGTTTCCAAATGGTCAGTCCACCCCTGCACAGTCCTAACATGCTGCTTTTTCTTTGTCTTGAAGTTCCTGGGTCTGTACACCCGCTGTGTCCATTATGAGGGGTTACCACCACCCCTCTCCTGAGTTCCTGGGTCTGTACACCCGCTGTGCCCATTATGAGGGGTTACCACCACCCCTCTCCTGAGTTCCCGGGTCTGTACACCCGCTGTGTCCATTATGAGGGGTTACCACCACCCCTCTCCTGAGTTCCTGGGTCTGTACACCCGCTGTGCCCATTATGAGGGGTTACCACCACCCCTCTCCTGAGTTCCCGGGTCTGTACACCCGCTGTGTCCATTATGAGGGGTTACCACCACCCCTCTCCTGAGTTCCTGGGTCTGTACACCCACTGTGCCCATTATGAGGGGTTCCCACCACCCCTGTGTTGAGTTCCCTGGTCTGTACACCCGCTGTGTCCATTATGAGGGGTTCCCACCACCCCTGTGCTGAGTTCCCGGGTCTGTACGCCCGCTGTGCCCATTATGAGGGGTTCCCACCATCCCTGTGCTGAGTTCCCTGGTCTGTACACATGCTGTGTTTATGAGGGGTTCCCACCATCCCTGTGCTGAGTCCCCGGGTCTGTACACCCGCTGTGCCCATTATGAGGGGTTCCCACCATCCCTGTGCTGAGTTCCTGGGTCTGTACACCCGCTGTGCCCGTTATGAGGGGTTCCCACCATCCCTGTGCTGAGTTCCCGGGTCTGTACACCTGCTGTGCCCGTTATGAGGGGTTCCCACCATCCCCGTGCTGAGTTCCCACATTTGCCCATTGAGGGGTTCCCACTATTCCTGCTGGATTTATTGCATTTAATATTCTATATGGCAAAAATGAAGGGGCTGGAACACCCCTAAAGTGGACGGTTTGGCTCCTGTGTTTGCATAGACCCAGATTTCCGTACATTGTCCCAACACACACAGAGGGTGACACATAGGTGAACACACTTCCCTCACTGTAGGGGATTCATTTGTGGGGGGGGGGGGGGGTTTCTGGAAACAAATGTGAACCATAGTGTGCTTCCCGCTGACCTCCGCTCTCACCTAGATATTGAACCCCAAAAAATACATGTCTGGGCAAAATTTAAATAAAATTACTTTTGCAGACCCCCCATGTTTTGAAACTTTGCCAGGTGATGCAGGTATTCCACGCTTCCAGTGCAGCCTATCAGTGCCTCTTGATCAGTGCAGCCCTATATCAGTGCAGCCTATCAATGCCTCTTCATCAGTGCAGCATATCAGTGCCTCTTCATCAGTGCAGCCTATCAGTGCCTCTTCATCAGTGCAGCCTATCAATGCCTCTTCATCAGTGCAGCCTCATCAGTGCAGCATATCAGTGCAGCCCCATCAGTGCCTCTTCATCAGTGCCTCCCCATCAGTGCAGCATATCAGTGCCTCCTCATCAGTGCAGCCTATCAATGCCTCTTCATCAGTGCAGCCCCAACAGTGCCTCTTCATCAGTGCAGCCTATCAATGCCTCTTCATCAGTGCATCTTCATCAGTGCAGCTCCATCAGTGCCTCCTCATCAGTGCAGCCCCATCAGTGCCTCTTCATCAGTGCAGCCCCATCAGTGCCTCCTCATCAGTGCAGCCTATCAATGCCTCTTCATCAGTGCAGCCCCATCAGTGCCTCTTCATCAGTGCAGCCTATCAGTGCCTCTTCATCAGTGCAGCCTATCAATGCCTCTTCATCAGTGCAGCCCCATCAGTGCCTCTTCATCAGTGCAGCCTATCAGTGCCTCTTCATCAGTGCAGCCTATCAATGCCTCTTCATCAGTGCAGCCCCATCAGTACCTCTGCATCAGTGCACCTATCGGTGCCTCTTCATCAGTGCAGCCTCATCAGGGCACATTAGTGAAGCAGAAAAATTACTTATTTGCAAAATTTTATAACAGGCAACTTTTTTTTTCAGAATGTTCGGTCTTTTTTAATTTGTTTAGCAAAAATCCCCACCCCAGTGGTGATAAAATACCTCAAAAAGAAATCTCTAGTTGTGTGGAAAAAATTATAAAAATTTCATATGGGTACAGTGTTGCATGACCGCACAATTGCTATTCGAAGTGTGACAGCGCTGAAAGTTGTCCTGGGCAGGAAGGGGGTGACAGTGCCGGTATTGAAGGGGTTAAACTTCAGCGTGACCTGGACCCGCACTGACGTCTGTGTGCACTGTGACAGCCGTGGCAGGCTGTGCGGTCTGATCCACGGAAAAAACGAACATATCAGTGCCGGTCCTCGGAAGGTACGTTTTGCACACGTTTAGAGCCCATTCACCCTTGTGCGACTTGTCACGTGACTGTCACTCGCTCCCCATGTTTCCCAACGGATACCATTCACCTCTGTGCGACTTCAAAAGTCGTTCCTCCACGACTTTCGTGTGACTTGAGGGCCATAGACTTCAATGTAAACCTTCCAAAGTCACACCTGAATGCCGTACATGCGACTTTTTACAGCACAATCACCCTTGGGCAAAGCCAAAGCCGCACGTGTCCAAAATCGCATCAAGTCGCACTACAAAGTCGCAACGAAAAACGCACAATTTTGAAGTCACACAACTGTGAATGAACCCTTAAACAGAAAGGAACACGCCTGGATTGTAACAATGGGGGGGAGAAAAAAAAAACAATGGAGCATGAAACAGATGCCAAAATCGATACATTTTATTGGATTTTATTTAATAAAAAAATCGCAGACAAGGCTTGGCGACATCTCGTAGTGCAGATAATCATTGAGTGTTCTCATTCGCGCTTCGTAAATGGGTTCAAAATTGCGTGTTTTTTGCGTGCATTTGTGAAAAAACGGGTTTCGCGCTGCGATCCCATTCGTTGTTAATTACTCCCCCCAAATGTGGCCAACAGCCGCGTGTATTTCCGTGATGAAAAACACGCCTAAAAAAAAAAAGCTACACGGGCGTCTTCGGAAATGAAAGGAAATAAATGGGCTGCCCTAGGAGTGCAGTGCGAAAAAATAACGCACGTTTGCAAAACGCTCATGTGTGAATGGGGTCTTAGCCCGGGTTCACACTGATGCGGTTCCTGTGCGAATCACATGCGATGTACCGCATGGCATTCCCGTGCAAACCACATGTGATTTCTGAGCGGTGCGATTTGAGCCATACATCCAGATCGCACTGCATCCGCACCAAAATAGCGCAGAACTCTTTTTTTTGTCCGCACCAGAGTCGGATCGCACAGGTATTCACACCCATGCGATCTGATTCTGCACATCGCACTGTGTTTTGCGAACTGATTTCGGGGTGTTGTTAATGTAACATACACGCCCGCTGCAGTTCGTGTGAACGGCGTGCGATTCTGATGCAGTGCAGAAATCGCACAGAAACGCTGCAAATTCTGCACCGCATCAGTGTGAACCCGGGCCTAGGTTCACACCTATGCATTTTCCACAGCGGTTTTTCAGAAACGCACAGCAGTCCATTTAATGATTTGCTATGGGACAGGTTCACGGGGCCTTAGCCCGGGTTCACACTGATGCGGTTCCTGTGAGAATCACATGCCATGTACCGCACCGCATTCCTGTGCAAACCACATGCGATTTCTGTGCGCTGTGAATTGAGCCATACAAAATCGCACCGCATCAAAATAGTCAGGTTGACTGTATCGGGCCCCATGGTTTGGAGGTCCTTGCCAGGTTGGCTGTTTGGGGCCCCGTGGTTTGGAGATCCCTGCCACGTTGGCTGTTTGGGGCCCCGTGGTTTGGAGATCCCTGCCAGGTTGGCTGTTTGAGGCCCCGTGGTTTGGCGGTCCCTGCCAGGTTGGCTGTTTGGGGCCCCGTGGTTTGGAGGTCCCTGCCAGGTTGGCTGTTTGAGGCCCCGTGGTTTGGAGATCCCTGCCACGTTGGCTGTTTGGGGCCCCGTGGTTTGGAGATCCCTGCCACGTTGGCTGTTTTGGGCCCCGTGGTTTGGAGATCCCTGCCAGGTTGGCTGTTTGAGGCCCCGTGGTTTGGAGGTCCTTGCCAGGTTGGCTGTTTGGGGCCCCGTGGTTTGGAGGTCCCTGCCAGGTTGGCTGTTTGGGGCCCCATGGTTTGGCGGTCCCTGCCAGGTTGGCTGTTTGGGGCCCCATGGTTTCAAACAGCAGCCCTTCTGATGGGTGTCAATGACCAGCAGACACACTGCTGCTGTATATACCAGTGGTTCTCATGGGCCATTTTTTTTTTGTAGAGCAGCCACAGCCTGAGTAGAAAAGCCTGTCCTCTTCCAGCATGCTGCATCAATGCTCTCTGTGTGGCAGCAGTGGTCTCTCTGCAGAGGTCCGGCACACTCCCCCTGGAGAATCAGACCCATCGCTCCGCAATCAGCAAAGCTCCTGCTCTCTTGTTGACTGAAGAGCTCCAGCCCCGACTCAGCAGGGGGCATGTCAGACCTCTGCAGAGAGACCACTGCTTCCACACTGAGGGGAAAGGTCCTCCTGTGCACTTTTTTTTGCTTTGATGTACCATTTATGTGACACATAAATTAATCTCCTGCCTTTACCTGCATAGGGCCACCTGCTACCTTGAGCCCTGGTTCATGCGGTGTGGGAAATGCATCGAATCGTGTTCATTTCCCGCACCGCAATCGCACGGCGTCCCTGCGATCTGGTACGGGTGTCGATGTTAAATTATCGACACCCCGAAACAGATTGCAAAACGCTGTGTGATTACTGGGATTCGCATTGCATGACACCTATGTGATGCAAATCAGGTGCGAGGGGGAAAAAAAAAAAAAAAAAGGTCCTGCGTCTTTTTTGCTGCGGATGCGAATTGAGCCAAACAAAACGTATGTCTCAAATCACACCACACAGACATCGCATGTGATTTATACCGGCTGTAGACGGGTTGAAAATGGGCTGATTTTTCAGCCGAAAGGAAAAAAAAGGGCCGATTTTCGCACTGTTAGTGGGTTAATTGGTTGGCCGTTTTTCGGGGTTTTGGCATATTTTTTTTTTTATTGGTAAAGTTGGAAAATTTGCGGCCGATTTTGATGATCGACCGATTTTCCCGGCTATGATGGGCAAATCGACCGATAAAAAAATCTGCGCATGAGCCGTGACCTGAAAAAAAAAGAAGAAGAATTCCAGTCCGCTATTATATTTTATAGGAAAAGTCTTGGGGTTGCAACAATGTATCTATTTGTATCCGAATAAAAAATCATCTGTATCTGAAATGGATACAAATAGATACATTGTTGCAACCCAAAGACTTTTCCTATAAAATATAATAGCGGAGCTCTCTGCAAGGGACAGAAGTAAAAATGCCTGCCGTAGACGGGACGAAGATCAGACGATTTTTTTTTTTACCGTTAGTAGTAGCGTTGGCTGATTGAACGATTGATCGTTTTTTTTTTTTTTTTTTTTTTAAAAACGGACGATTTTCGACCCGTCTATGGCCTGCATTACACAGGAATGCGGTGCGGTTCCTGCGTTGCGCTGCACCACATTAGTCTGATCCCGAGCTGAAAAGCCAGAAAAGCTCTATGTAAATATTGACTTTCTGAAAGTCTGTATTTGCATATAAATGGACACGCCCACTGCTCAGGGCTGCCAATAGGACACGCGTGCGTCAGCATTGTGTTGTCGGATGCAGGGGCGGGGTTCATGTGAGCATTCAGCTGCTGCCATTGACACCAGACTGTTATTGGAGTCAGGCAATGATTGTTCGAGGATCAGAAGTCAATCTGTGATCTGATTGGTCGGATCAAACAAAGTCAATTGTAATCAATGTGCGTGGGTCAACAAATGAGCAGATGTCCATAGCTAACCTCTCTGAATATGCTAGCTGCCTGACTGTAATGCCGATCCAACGGCTGAGCCGGGAACAAATTCAGATCTGGAGTTCTGCCTTCACTGGCTACATGCTTGTTATGGCTTGAAGTCAGAGACAGCCAGGCACATTGCAGTTTCTGAAGGTCAGCGATGGAGCTCACATATACGGAGGTGATGCGGGTCAGGATTTGGCATTGGGTTCCTCTACGTAGTTTGATACTTCTATTAGGTTGTGATCCGGGTCCCGGAAATAGACGGAGCTGATCTCCCCCATCGCTCCTGTGCGGGACACGGGCCCTTCTTCTATGGGGACCCCGCAGACCTGAGGGGAGAAAAATAAATGGTCAAGGGAAGCCGAACACAGATGAGTCATTGGTTTGGTTGGCTACATCATTAGTATCAGTGGGAGGAATAGTACCCCATCATTGGTGTCAGTGGGAGGAATAGTGCCCCATCATTGGTGTCAGTGGGAGGAATAGTGCCCCATCATTGGTGTCAGTGGGAGGAATAGTGCCCCATCATTGGTGTCAGTGGGAGGAATAGTGCCCCATCATTGGTGTCAGTGGGAGGAATAGTGCCCCATCAATGGTGTCAGTGGGAGGAATAGTGCCCCATCATTGGTGTCAGTGGGAGGAATAGTGCCCCATCGTTGGTATCAGTGGGAGGAATAGCTCCCCATCGTTGGTGTCAGTGGGAGGAATAGCGCCCCATCGTTGGTGTCAGTGGGAGGAATAGCGCCCCATCGTTGGTGTCAGTGGGAGGAATAGCGCCCCATCGTTGGTGTCAGTGGGAGGAATAGCGCCCCATTGTTGGTGTCAGTGGGAGGAATAGCGCCCCATCGTTGGTGTCAGTGGGAGGAATAGCGCCCCATCGTTGGTGTCAGTGGGAGGAATAGTGTCCCCATCATTGGTATCAGTGGGAGGAATAGTGCCCCATCATTGGTGTCAGTGGGAGGAATAGTGCCCCATTGTTGGTGTCAGTGGGAGGAATAGTGCCCCATTGTTGGTGTCAGTGGGAGGAATAGTGCCTCAAGAGCTGGATAAAGACAAGCAAAGGGCCGCGTCTGGCCCTCGGGCTGCAGTTTGGAGACCAGCGGGTTATACTACTACAAAGTGATTTATGACTTATGATTTCCTTTAGATGCAGCAACAAATCTGTGGTTTCCGGGGCTGATTGGATACACAATTAGTGGATAATTTAAGCAGGTTCTATGAACGCCCTAAAATTCACCCATTTGGCCGAACGTCACGTATTAATTACCGGCACAGCCGAGTCCTCAGCAACTGGTGGTGTCACTTTCAGTATATGGCTGGGAATCCCCGGCCATGCAACCAAAGGAGCCAGAGTCTGGTATGCAGTATTGGGGGGCCATGCAAAAATGAAGAAAAGCCCCCCAAAAATCTACACCAGACTCTTATCTAAGAACAGTGTTGTCACTAGGGTTGCTGTCACCTGGTGCGGTAAAACATATGATGTCACCCCCCCCCCCACAGCAGGACAGGCAGTTGGGCACTGAGCAGGCTAGCACATTGGCTCTCCCCCCATTTACTGTCCTCGGACCCCCAATAATGTTCTTAGCCCCCCAATAGTCCCCGATAATATCCTCAGCCTCCTACGTTACTGCCCCCCCCACAGTACCCCAGTACTGCCCTCAGCTCCCCTTCCCCCCAGTGCCCCATTACTGTCCTTAGTGCCCCCCCCCCAGCGCCCCCCACAGCGCCCCATTACTGTCCTCAGCTCCCCCCCCCCCCCCACAGTGCGCCATTACTGTACTCAGCTCCCCCCCACAGTGCCCCCTTACTGTCCTTAGCTTCCCCCCCCCCACAGTGCCCCATTCCTGTCCTAAGCGCCCCCCCCCCACAGTGCCCCATTACTGTCCTCAGCTCCCCCCCACAGCACCCCACTACTGTCCTCAGCTCCCCCCCCCCACAGCGCCCCATCACTGTCCTCAGCTCCCCCCACAGCGCACCACCACTGTCCTCAGCTCCCGCTCCCCCCACAGCGCCCCATCACTGTCCTCAGCTCCCCCCCCCCCCACAGCACCCCATCACTGTCCTCAGCTCCCCCCTCCCCCCACAGCGCCCCATCACTGTCCTCAGCTCCCCCCCACAGCACCCCATCACTGTCCTCAGCTCCCCCCCACAGCACCCCATCACTGTCCTCAGCTCCCCCCCCACAGCACCCCATCACTCTCCTCAGCTCTTCATAGCTCTATGAGAGAATGACAGTGGCAGTTTGTAAATGGTGTGGCCGGTGTCACCCCTCTGGTGGGTGTCACCCGGGTGCGGTCTGTACCCCCGTACCCCCTATAGTGAGGCCAATGTCCAAGCATGCAGCCTCTTCACATTCATTCCCTTTCCTCCATTAACATCTTCAGCAGACCTTCATCTAGACCAGGGGTGGGCAACTGTGGCCCTCCAGCTGTTGGTGAACTACAAGTTCCATCATGCATCTGCCTTTGGGAGTCATGCTTGTAACTGTCAGTTTTGCAATGCCTCCTGGGACTTGTAGTTCTACAACAGCTGGAGGGCCACAGTTGCCCACCCCTGGCCTAGGATATGGGTCTGGTATAGATGGAATCCCCTTTTGTTTACAAACAGAACAAAGTGGGCGGGAACTGTCATTTGCCAGCAATTTAACCCCTTCCTCTCCAGAGGATTTTCCCCTTCCTGATCCGGCCATTGTTTGCGAGACGACACTGTGTGAATTTAACTGACAATTGCGCAGTCATGCAACGCTGCACCCAAATGAAACTTATATCCTTTTTTTACACATAAATAAACCTTTCGGTGGTATTTGATCGCCTGTGAGCTTTTCATTTTGTGCGCTATAAACGAAAAAAGACCAACAATTTTGCAAAAAAATAAAATATATATATTTTTGATTTTTTTTTATTCAGTATAAAACATATCCAATAAAAAATTTTAAAAAATCAAATTTTATCATACATTTAGGCCAAAATGTATTCTGCTCCATGTTTTTGCTAAAAAAAAAAATCCTCATACGTGTAAATGAATTGGTGTATGTGAAAGTTATAGCGTCTACAAATGGCGGAATATATACTGGGATTTTTATTTTAATTTTTTTTATACTAGTAAGGGCGGCGATCAGCAATTTATAGCGGGACTGCGGCGGGCAATCTGACGCTGGGGGGGAACTGACAAACTGCCACTGACATCCCCAGTGATACCAATACAGTGATCAGTGCTAAAAAAAAAAAAAAAAAAAGCACTGACACCAGGGGCAGACTGACAACTCATGGGGCCCTCGGCAATAGGGGATCATGGGGCCCCTGTGCCCTTGCCCAAACTCAAAAAAGCCTATGAAAAAGGTACCAGGGGCATCTCATAGGGCCCCCTACTGACCCCGGGCCCTCGGGCAGTGCCCGAGTTTCCAAATGGTCAGTCCACCCCTGACTGACACTGTACTAATGGCACTGGGCAGGAAGGGGTTAACATCTGGGGCGATCAAAGGGTTAACTGTGAGCTGTTTTATTAGGGAAACATGCTGCTTTGTATTGCTCTGCTATACAAAGCAGCATGTTTGGTGCTGACAGGGGAGAGACCTGTGCTGTTTATATACAGACCTCCCCCCTGTCTCTGTTCCTTGACGATTGCCGGGGGCCAGCGGGGAATCTCTGGCCGGGACCCGGTGATCGACAGCTGCAGCCGCCAATGGCGGCGCGGGTAGGGCAGCACGCGCACGCCCCTCCTACCCGGAAATGCAAATCACGTACATATACGTGATTTTGTGCAGCCGTGCCGCCCTGTAGCAGGACTTCTTCTATAGGGCGGTCGGGAATCGGTTAAACGCACATTTGTCGCTTGCAGAAGGCTGTATACGTCGTACAGACGGGGCATTTCATGGGCAGGTTAATGACAACCCCCAGACGTTATAAAATGATGTTGTCACAAACCTGCAGGTGCTGTAGGACGGTGCTGAGCGGCGTCTCTGTGATCAGACAGAGGTCAGCTGATCCTGGCGACGGGCGATGGGCCTTGGGCTCGAACTCCTTCCCGACTTCATGGAGGTTTATCTTCTGCATGCCGAAACTCAGAGCCTTCCGGTTCCCCTAGAAGTGACCACAATAATACATTACTAATGACGGTGCTGGGCTCTGGATGCCACCCGTCCCGAGCAACTCCGCGTCCCATACACACATCACCGCACATTAAAATGGATTTACAGATTTTTTTTTTTAAGTTTTGGACAGAGAGAGGAAGTGTTAGCACCTCCTCGAGTGTTGTCACTCAGCGGGGGAAAATACAACATTTCTGAGTTGTCACTGGAACAGGAAAGAGGGAAACTCTTCCAATGGGGACACCAGACATAGCTATTTAAGAGGAGATTTGAAGACATTTCATCTCACTTCCTGTGTCTCTGGGACAGGAAGTGAATGGAAATCTCCCCAAAGGACACTGGGGGTATTTTTGCTTGTGAAAAGTGATGTTTCATACTACTGACCTCTGAACTCTTACGTACTCCTGACCCATGCTCTGTGCGTTACATACTACTGACCCCTGAACGCTGCATTACACACTACTCATCCCTGGACTCTGTGTTACACACTACTGACTGTTACGTACCGCTGACACTTGAACTATATTATTTACTTCTGACCCCTGCGTTCTAAATTACACACTACTGACCTCTGTGCTATGTATTATTGACCTTTAAACTCTACATTGTATACTACTGACCTCAGCACTCTGCTTTACACACTACTGACCTCTGCACTTTACATTACACACTACTGACCTCTGCACTTTACATTACACACTACTGACCTTTGCTTTACACACTACTGACCCCTGCATTCTACAAATACACACTACTGACCCCTGCATTCTACAAATACACACTACTAACCTCTGTGTTACACACTATTGACCTCTGCACTCTACATTACGCACTACTGACCTCTGCGTTATATACTACTGAACCCTGCACTCTACATTACACACTACTGGCCTGTGCGCTCTGCATTACACACTACTAACCTCTGCGTTACATACTACTGACCCCTGCACTCTACATTACACACTACTGACCCCTGCCTTACACACTACTGACCCCTGTACTCTACATTACACACTACAGACCTCTGCACTCTACATTACACGCTACTGACCTCTGTTACATACTACTGACCCCTGCACTCTACATTACACACTACTGACCCCTGCACTCTACATTACACACTACTGACCCCTGCACTCTACATTACACACTACTGACCCCTGCCTTACACACTACTGACCCCTGTACTCTACATTACACGCTACTGACCTCTGTTACATACTACTGACCTCTGCACTCTACATTACACGCTACTGACCTCTGTTACATACTACTGACCCCTGCACTCTACATTACACACTATTGACTTCTGCATTCTACATTACACACTGCTAACACCTGCACTCTACATTACACACTACTGACTTCTGCACTCTGTATTACACAGTACTTACCTCTGCATTCTGTTTCTACTGACCCCTGCACTCTGTGTTACATGCCCCTGATCCCTGCACTCTGCGGTACATGCCCCTGACCCCTGTACTCTGCGGTACATGCCCCTGACCTCTCCGCTCTGGCGGTACGTGCCCCTGACCCCTGCGTTGCGCGCCCCTGACCCCTGCGTTGCGCGCCCCTGACCCCTGCGTTACGCGCCCCTGACCCCTGCGCTCTGCGTTACACGCCCCTGACCCCTGCGCTCTGTGTTACACAATATTAACTTCTACACTCTGATACTGTCTCCTGACCCCTGCACTTTACTTTTCCTATTCCTGCCCTCTGCATTGCTACTCCCCTCTACACTCTGAGTTGCATATTTCTGTCCCCTGCGCTCAGCATTACTATTCCAGATCTCACAGGAGAGATGGGGGAACTGGCATCCGTCCTCCTCACTTGCCATACTGACTTTTCTTGGTCCTGGTCTTCCAGTAAAAGCAGGAGAGCCCCGGGACTGAGGAGGATAAGTGGGCTACATTCAGAAGCCAGGGGACCCTTACTGTCTCTGTGGAAGCAGTGGTCTCTCTGAAGAGGTCCAACCTGCCCTCTGCTGAATCCAAGCCTCAGCTCTCCATTCGGTGGGGAGCAGGAGATTTACTGATTGGGGATCAATAGGTCAGACAAAGCGGGGGGGGGGGGGGGGGTCAGACTTCAGCAGAGAGACCACTGCTTCTACACAGGGAGCGAGGGTCCTTCTCAGCAGCCCTGGAGCATGCTGGCAGGGGTCTGGCCTTTCTGTCCTCTCAGGGCTGTACTTAGGGGATTCACTGGTGAGAACTGATGGTACCGGTGATCCATAATGGAGGAATACAGAGGACAACCATGACAGGACTGTACCTTGAAGGTGATCAGCTCCATGCCCAGCACCCGGGTGTAGAAGGTGGCCGTCTTCTCCATGTTGTGGACCGTCAGAACCAGGTGATCCAGCCGCTGTATACAGAATGGGGTCTGAGAGGCAAAACGCACCAGCGGGGGGCAGACCTGAGAGATACAGAGTGTGTCAGTGCGGGTGATCGGGATTATTGGTGCCGTGTGTGTCAGTGTGGGTGATCGGGATTATTGGCGCTGTGTGTGTCAGTACGGTCAATCGGGATTATTGGTGCTGTGTGTGTCAGTGCGGGTGATCGGGATTATTGGCGCTGTGTGTGTCAGTACGGTCGATCGGGATTATTGGTGCTGTGTGTGTCAGTACGAGTGATCGGGATTATTAGTGCTGTGTGTGTCAGTGCGGGCGATCGGGATTATTGGTGCTGTGTGTGTCAGTGCGGGCAATCGGGATTATTGGCGCTGTGTGTGTCAGTACGGTCGATCGGGATTATTGGTGCTGTGTGTGTCAGTGCGGGTGATTGGGATTATTTGCGCTGTGTGTGTCAGTACGGTCGATCGGGATTATTGGTGCTGTGTGTGTCAGTGCGGGCGATCGGGATTATCGGTGCCGTGTGTGTCAGTGCGGGCGATCGGGATTATCGGTGCCGTGTGTGTCAGTGCGGGTGATCGGGATTATCGGTGCCGTGTGTGTCAGTGCGGGTGATTGGGATTATCGGTGCCGTGTGTGTCAGTGTGGGTGATCGGGATTATCGGTGCCGTGTGTGTCAGTGCGGGTGATCGGGATTATTGTTGCTGTGTGTGTCAGTGCGGGTGATCGGGATTATTGGTGCTGTGTGTGTCGGTACGGGTGATCGGGATTATTGGTGCTGTGTGTGTCAGTGTGGGTGATCGGGATTATTGGTGCTGTGTGTGTCAGTGCGGGTGATCGGGATTATTGGTGCTGCGTGTGTCAGTGTGGGTGATCGGGATTATTGTTGCTGTGTGTGTCAGTGCGGGTGATCTGGATTATGGGTGCTGCGTGTGTCAGTGCGGGTGATCGGGATTATTGTTGCTGTGTGTGTCAGTGTGGGTGATCTGGATTATGGGTGCTGTGTGTGTCAGTGCGGGTGATCGGGATTATTGGTGCTGTGTGTGTCAGTGCGGGTGATCTGGATTATGGGTGCTGTGTGTGTCAGTGTGGGTGATCGGGATTATTGTTGCTGTGTGTGTCAGTGTGGGTGATCGGGATTATTGGTGCTGTGTGTGTCAGTGCGGGTGATCGGGATTATTGGTGCTGTGTGTGTCAGTGCGGGTGATCGGGATTATTGGTGCTGTGTGTGTCAGTGCGGGTGATTGGGATTATTGGTGCTGTGTCAGTGTGGGTGATCGGGATTATGGGTGCTGTGTGTGTCAGTGCGGGTGATCGGGATTATTGGTGCTGTGTGTGTCAGTGCGGGTGATCGGGATTATTGGTGCTGTGTGTGTCAGTGCGGGTGATCGGGATTATTTTTGCTGTGTGTGTGTCAGTGTGGGTGATTGGGATTATTGTTGCTGTGTGTGTCAGTGTGGGTGATCGGGATTATTGTTGCTGTGTGTGTCAGTGCGGGTGATCGGGATTATGGGTGCTGTGTGTGTCAGTGCGGGTGATCGGGATTATTGGTGCTGTGTGTGTCAGTGCGGGTGATCGGGATTACCTGGGTCCTCAGCAGCCGGCACAGGGACATCATGGTGCAGGGCAGGCAGTAGGAAGTATAATGTCTCTGTATTTCCCCGGCTGGATTTTCTCAGTGAACTTCCTGGTGTTCGGACAGATGAGGGTGGAGCAGACATGAGGATCCCTCCCCCGCTCTCTCACTTCTCCTTCCTCAGATCACAGATGCATGTTAGTACATGAGATCTGCCCACTCAGAGGAGAGCATGCTGAACAGGAAACAATGCTGCACGAAAACTGATTCATTGTATCTCCTGTCATCCTGATCCGTGTACTCACCCCCGACTGTGCTGCTCAGATACATCCACTCACCTGCCTCTTTATTAGGTACACCTGTTCAATTGCTTGGTAAAACAAATTGCTAATCAACCAATCACATGGCAGCAACTCAATGCATTTAGGCGTCTAAACGTGGTGAAGATGACTTGCTGAAGTTCAAACCGAGCATCAGAATGGGGAAGAAAGGGGATTAAAGTGACTTTGAGCGTGGCATGGTTGTTGGTGCCAGACGGGCTGGTCTGAGGATTTCAAAAACTGCTGATCTACTGGGAATTTCATGCACAACCATCTCTACGGTTTACAGAGAATGGTCCGAAAAAGAGAAAAATATTAGTTGTTTGGAGGAAAATGCCTTGTTGATGTCAGAGGAGAATGAGCAGACTGGTTGCTGCCACATTCAGATGGTTGGGTCAGAATTTGGCATAAACAACATGAAAGCATGGATCCATCCTGCCTTGTATCAATGGCTCAGGCTGGCGGTGGTGTCATGGTGAGGTGGATCCATCCTGCCTTGTATCAATGGTTCAGGCTGGCGGTGGTGTCATGGTGAGGTGGATCCATCCTGCCTTGTATCAATGGTTCAGGCTGGTGGTGGTGGTGGTGTCATGGTGTGGTGGATCCATCCTGCCTTGTATCAATGGCTCAGGCTGGCGGTGGTGTCATGGTGAGGTGGATCCATCCTGCCTTGTATCAATGGTTCAGGCTGGTGGTGGTGGTGTCATGGTGTGCTGGATCCATCCTGCCTTGTATCAATGGGTCAGGCTGGTGGTGGTGTCATGGTGTGGTGGATCCATCCTGCCTTGTATCAATGGGTCAGGCTGGTGGTGATGGTGTCATGGTGTGGTGGATCCATCCTGCCTTGTATCAATGGTTTAGGCTGGTGGTGTCATGGTGTGGTGGATCCTTCCAGCCTTGTATCAATGGGTCAGGCTGGTGGTAGTGGTGTCATGGTGTGGTGGATCCATCTTGCCTTGTATCCATGGTTCAGGCTGGTGGTGGTGTCATGGTGTGGTGGATCCATCCTGCCTTTTATCAATGGGTCAGGCTGGTGGTGATGGTGTCATGGTGTGGGGGAGATTTTCTTGGCAATAGCATGGCGGACCTAATAAAGTGGCCAGTGAGTGTATGTTGTCACCATGGGATAGAGAGAGGATGGGGGTCATGGCTGGCAAGAGAGGACAGGGGTCACCATTGGATGGACAGGGAACAGGGGTTGTGGCTGGAAGGATTGAGCACAGCTGGCAAGATAGATGAGAGGGGTCACCACTAGAAGGAGAGGGGACCGGGGGTCACTGCTGAAAGGATTGAGCACCACTGGAAGGAGAGAGGACAGGGAGGGCCACTGCTGGAAGGAGAGGACAGGAGTCACCGCTGGAAGGAGAGAGGACAGGGGTCACCGCTGGAAGGAGAGAGGACAGGGGTCACCGCTGGAAGGAGAGAGGACAGGAGTCACCGCTGAAGGAGAGAGGACGGGTCACCGCTGGAAGGAGAGAGGACAGGGGTCACCGCTGGAAGGAGAGAGGATAGACAGGGCCACCACTGGAAGGAGAGAGGATAGACAGGGCCAATGCTGGAAGGAGAGAGGATAGACAGGGCCACCACTGGAAGGAGAGAGGATAGACAGGGCCACCACTGGAAGGAGAGAGGATAGACAGGGGTCACCTCTGACAGGAGAGAGGATAGACAGGGCCACCACTGGAAGGAGAGAGGATAGACAGGGGTCACCTCTGACAGGAGAGAGGATAGACAGGGGTCACCTCTGGCAGGAGAGAGGACAGACAGGGGTCACCTCTGGCAGGAGAGAGGACAGACAGGGGTCACCTCTGGCAGGAGAGAGGACAGACAGGGGTCACTTCTGGCAGGAGAGAGGACAGACAGGAGTCACCGCTGTAGGAGAGAAGACAGACAGGGTGACCGCTGGCAGGAAAGAGGATAGACAGGTGTCACCGCTGTAGGAGAGAGGACAAACAGGGTGACCGCTGCCAGGGCACTCAGCATAGCTGCCTTGTACATGCACAGGCAGCAATATCTCTTCCTTGGCTCTTCCTCACACAACACAGAGCTGAAATCCAATTCTCTTTCACTCAGCTACAATCAGCACAGTGTGTAAAAACTGTCCCCCTAGTTCCAGTGAAGGGAACTCTTAAGGCAACATTTTGGACAATTTCATGCTCCCAACTTTGTGGGAAGAGTTTGGGGATGGCCCATTCCTGTTCCAACATGTCTGCTCACCAGTGCACAAAGCAAGGTCCATAAAGACATGGAGGAGCCAGTTTGGGGTGGAGGAACTTGACTGGCCTGCAACCCCATAGAACACCTTTGGGATGAATTAGAGCGGAGACTGCGAGCCAGGCCTCCTCCCCCGACATCAGTGCCTGACCTGACAAATGTGCTTCTGGAAGAATGGTCCAACCTTCCCATAGACACCCTCCTAAACCTTGTGGATGGCCTTCCCAGAAGAGTTGAAGCTGTTATAGCTGCAAAGGGCGGGGCCAACTCAATATTGAACCCTACGGACTAAGACTGGGGGGCCATTAAAGGTCATGTGCGTGGAAAGGGCGGGGCCAACTCAATATTGAACCCTACGGACTAAGACTCGGGGCCATTAAAGTCCATGTGCGTGGAAAGGCCGGCCGACCAATACTTTTGGCAATAAAGTGTATAAACCAACATCAGTAACACTTCTCTTGAAGCTCCTAGACTTTATCAAATGTACAATTTTGTAATAGATGGGAAATTTCAGATTCTCATAAAAAAAATGTCTTTCCATCTGCCATCTTAAATGGATTTTTTGTTTGTTTTAGATTTATCCAACTGGTGGACAAAAATAACAAGTTAAATCTGGAGTTTAATCCATGAAGATAATGAGGTCTGACGACGCCCAAACTTTGTAGAAAAAATGAGCGAGTAATACTGAACACCGTGCCAACCTAATTTTCCCCAGATTTCGCAAGTTGGTAACAAAATGAATTTACAAGTCGGCAACATGAATGGTCAGATTCAAAACTCAAGTTTACGATGGGCCCTCAGGGAAGACTTGGTAAAACAAGATACAGCTTGAAGCATATTCCACAGAGCATAGGACAGCTGAGAAGGAATACAAAAGTATCAGAAACCTCCACTCACAAGGTCTTCAGAGGAACTCCGATGAGGCCCTGTTGCAAATTGGGATGGGGCTTGGATTTGCCCCATTGTTCACAATGAACTCTTCCTCTTTGTGAATGGGCTGAATCCAGAAGCAGCAGAAATTATTTATTTATTGGGATATTACATAGTTACATAGTTAGTCTGGCTGAAAAAAGACAAAATCCAGTTCAACCACTAAAAAAAAAGTTATAATCCTACACCCACAGTTGATCCAGAGGAAGGCAAAAAGCCCAGCAAAGCACGATCCAATTTGCTCCTGCAGGGAAAAAAATTTCTTCCTGATCCCCCGAGAGGCAATCGGATATTCCCTGGATCAACTTTACCTATAAATGTTAGTGTGACGAACGCAGGATCGCTGTCACCAACATGTGACGATCCCACCGCTGCCACCAATATGTCACGATCGCAGCGTCAGACCCCAGACCTTCTCACCAAACTCATGACTGAAGGACTGGCCGATCTAAAACCGCGATGTGACGTGCGTAACAACACCACGTCCAGCTGCACCCTGCACAACGATTTTCCAGCTAATGGACTACAATCTATGTACCTGCAGCCTGGACGCTATTGTTACTGGGTCAGGTTAATTACGCAATTAACCCTTCACACTGCCACCACCTCCTTTTTTATACAGAGAAAGAGGAAACTTGGCGTTGTCAGCTATAACATTATAATGATTGCAATAATCGTCTGCATAACCCGGTCATTGACACAAGCCGGTTATACAGAGAGTTAAAGCAACAGTAGCGTCTTTTTAACCACTTGAGCTCCAGAGGATTTACCCCCCTTAATGACCACGCCTCTTTTTGCTACTCGGCGCTGCACTAATTCAACTGATAATTGCGCGGTCATGCAATGCTGCACCCAAATGAAATTTACGTCTTTTTTCACACAAATAGAGCTTTCTTTCGGTGGTATTTGATCACCTGTGCGCTTTTTATTTTTCACGCTATAAACAAAAAAAGGACAAAAATTTTGAAGAAAAACAATATTTTTTACTTTCAGCTATAAAAAATATATAGTAAACTCAAAGTTAGTTATAAATTTAGGCCAAAATGTATTCTGCTCCATGTTTTTGGTAAAAAAAATCCCAATAAGTGTATATTGATTGCTTTGTGTGACAGTTATAGCGTCTACAAACTATGGTATAGATCAGGGGTGGGCAAACTTTTTGACTTGAGGGCCGCAATGGGTTCATATATTGGACCCGGGGGCCGGACCAAGAGTAGATGAATGATGTGTATGTGTCATCCATAGTAAGTATAGTAATAATCTCCCATAGTAAGCATAGTAATTAATCCCCCATATAGTAATTCATCCCCCCTATAGTATTTCATCCCCCATATAGTAATTAATCCCCCATATAGTAATTCATCCCCCCCATAGTAATTCATCCCCCATATAGTAATTCATCCCCCATATAGTAATTCATCCCCCATAGTAATTCATCCCCCATATAGTAATTCATCCCCCATAGTAATTCATCCCCCATATAGTAATTCATCCCCCATATAGTAATTCATCCCCCATAGTAATTCATCCCCCATATAGTAATTCATCCCCCATAGTAATTCATCCCCCATATAG